ACTGTTTTCTAATAACTTGGGAGTGAATTCAACCCAGGTGGGGATGTTTTGGTTTAGGCTGAAATGGCACTTGGCAGGAGAATAATAACTCTATACATTCAGAAGAGGTTAGACCAGATGACTTTAAGAGGCCCTACCAATGTGAGCATGATTCTCATCTACAAATGTTGATCTGATAGATATTCTAAGATTACTTAGAATACAGTAAGATACACAGAAAAATCATTTTTTTTTTTTTACTAACAAACTAGTGGAGTCTATCTCTTTTCAATTCTGATTTAAAATATTAACCAGAAAAAAATATTGAACGGCCCTCGACAGTGTGGCTCAGTTGGTTGACTGTTATCCCATGCACCGAGAGATCACCAGTTCCACTCCTGGTCAGGGTATGTGCCTGGGTTGTGGGCTCGATCCCCAGTAGGGATGTGCAAGAGGCAGCCAATCTGTGTTTCTCTCATCAATGTTTTTCTCTCAAATCAATAAAACATCACATATATATATGGAGACCCAGTGCGTGAAATTTGTGCATGGGTAGGGTCCCTAGCAGCTGCTGGCTGCCAACCAGGCCTCCCTTCCCTCAGCTGCCTGCTGCCACCGCCAGAAGATATGGGGTTGGTTGCGGGGAGGGGCCACAGCGGTTAGCCAACCCCACCCCCTGGATGAACTTCTGGTTAAGGGGACAATTTGTATATTAGGCTTTTATTATATAGGATACTAGAGGCCCAGTGCACAGATCCATGTACCAGTGGGTCCCTTGGCCTGGCCTGCACCCTCTCACAGTCCAGGACCTCTTGGGGAATATCAAACTGCCAGTTTCAGTCTGGCCCCTGCAGGCCAGGCCAAGGGACCACACCCAGGCACAAATCCGTGCACCAGGCCTTTAGTATGCATATAAGATCTTTGGTACATCTCTTGCCACCTTCCCTCCTTCCCCCTTCCATCTGTTCCAAGTTTCCATGCCTGTGCATTGAGTGTCTGCCCCCTGGTGGTCAGTTTGCGTCATAACTAACAGTCGAATAGTTGAATGGTCACTTAGGCTTTTATATAGAGAAATATTAACTAGGTAGGAAAATATCTTTAAAAAAAATAAGGTAGCCCTAACCAGTTTGGCTCAGTGGATAGAGCACTGGCCTGCAGACTGAAGGGACCCAGGTTCGATTCCAGTCAAGGGTATGTACCTTGGTTGCAGGCACAACCCCAGTGGGGAGTGTGCAGGTGGCAGCTGATCAGTATTTCTTTCTCATCAATGTCTCTAACTCTCTATCCCTCTCTCTTTCTTTCTGTAAAAAATTAATAAAATATATATTTTTTTAAAAAGGTAAAGAAATTCTTGAATAGATGGAGTGAAAGCTAATCTATGCCGGCAAGAAATGAGCAGCTTCAGATTCAGGCTGATCCAGAAAGCAGGGCTGGAATTTTACTGAGATGCTATAAAGAGAATCAGGATAGTGCCAAGGAGGCAAGGATAAGAGGTAAGGACCCATAACCAGGAAAGGCATACAAGATGGGGAGAGAAGGCTGGGAAACAGTGTGTAGGATGGCTGACCTCCCTGTGACAGCCACTGTCATTAATCTGGATGTGCTCAGGCCATGGTTTTCAAAAACACTAGAAAATTTCTCCAATGATAAATAAATGGCCAATAAGCAAATGAAAATATACTTAGAATCACTAATCATTAGGGAAATCAAAACCACACCTTACACACCTTAGGATGGATACTATAAAAAACAAAATAAAACAGAAGTGTTGGTGAGGATGTGCAAAATGGGGACCATTGTGCATAGTTGGTGGGAATATAAAAGTGCCATGATTATGGAAGAGTTTTTTGGTGGTTCCTCAAAAAATTAAAAACTTAATTACCATATATATATATATATATATATGCGCTTAGATATATATATGTGCATATATATATATATATATATATATATATATATATGCTTAGAGCACTAGTTAAGTATACAATTTTACCTATATGTTCCCAAAAATTCTAGTTTAGCACTTCTTAGTTGGGATTCAGGAATCTGTATTTTAACAACTCCACCAAGTGATTCTCATCATGAGAGAAGTTTGAGAAACACTGCCTTAGGGAGACTCACAGGACTTAACCTATAGTCAAACTCACGGTTTTGATTTTTTACAGCGAAACTAAGCAAAATTGGTGAAGAGACATGGTATATGGACAAAGTCCAGGGGTAACTGAGCACAGGGTTTCAAGGGGTCCCTCCAGCGGAGTCACACAGGATGCACTTCATTCCCGCAGCAATGAGTTGAGACCACACCTGTGAAGTGCTTTTCGGTGGAAGCTCATTACAGACTCAGTGCCCAGGGTTTTACTGGAAACTGATCACACAGGGCCATCTTGCCTAGCACATCCCAAAATCACAGACCCTCAGAAGGAAAGGAAGCAGGTGTTTAGCATAAGCCACACTGTTTGCCCAAACAATTTAAGTACAATGAGCTACCCCCATGATTGACAAACTGCAGCTTGTGAGCCAAATGTGGCTCTTTGGCCCCTTGAGTGTGGCTCTTCCACAAAATACCACGGCCTGGGCGAGTCTATTTTGAAGAAGTGGTGTTAGAAGAAGTTTAAATTTTGAAAATTTGGCTCTCAAAAGAAATGTCAATCTTTGTACTGTTGACATTTGGCTCGGTTGACTAACAAGTTTGCCAACAACTGAACTACCCAGTTAGGGTGTGGAGACCCTCTTTATTTTTTTAAATATATTTTATTGATTTTTTATGGAGAGGGATAGAGAGTTCGAAACATTGATGAGAAAATCTTGCACACCCCCTACTGGGAATGTGCCTGCAACCAAGGTACATGCCCTTGACCGGAAACCAATCTGGGACCTTTCAATACCCAAGCTGACGCTCTATCCACTGAGCCAAACTAGTTTCGGCTATGGGGACCCTCTTTAAATCGAAGTTCCCAGGCAATAGTGAAGGGCCAGCTTATCAGCAGGCCTTTCTAAGGATAAGTATTCTTGGGCTTGCTATGATAACTCTTTCCTGCACATACCCAAGGGCCCTTGGCTTTACAATAAAATTATCATCAGTAAGACTCTGTCCAGCCAGGTGAGCGCAAACTGTGGTATTGACTTCTGTTATCCATTATACAGGTTTTAGCCAACTTTCTCCATGTTATTGGGGGATTCTGTTTCTGAGCAAAGCATTAGCTGTTTTACTAAATGGCCAATCGCATGTAGATGTTCAAACTAGTCATTACCAAGATTCAATTGGTTAGCTACTTTCAAAGCCTATTCCTCCCCCTGGATGTTCCATCTTAGAGAAATGAGTCAGAATTCACTCACTGACTTAGACTGAGAATTAAGGAATAATCGTTGACTTCTCTCTTCTTCATCCATCCCGATTTTCACCTTTACCACCACTTCCCCCGAATCTGTCTCCAGATCCTGAGGATTTTACCTTTGGATAGCTCTAGAATCTTTCCGTCTTTACTGCCAATCGCTCACTTGTCTAATATGGCAACAACATTGTAAACACTCTCCCTGCTCTGAGTGGCCCTCCTCCAGTCTCAGTACCAACAAAATAATCCCAATTTAAAATCTAAAATTCCTTTAACCATTCAAATGCTAGGAATAAAACTACAAAACTCCCATCCTCCAGCCACAATAGTCCAACATTAAAGGTATGGACACACTGATTTTATAGGCAAGAAAGTGATGCCTTCAAGACTGACTGACTTGAATTCCACTTGGCCTTTCATGGCTAAGCTCTTGTTCTTTTTAAATTTTTTTCCTTATTAACACAGAGAGGGGTGGCATTAATTTGGTATTCTGCTTATTTATGCATTTATTGATTGATTCTTGTATGTTTTTTATTGATTGATTCTTGTATGTCCCTTGACCTGGGGTGGAACCCGCAACCATGGCTGCCCTAGGAGATGAGGCTCTTACCAGCCAAGTTCACCGGCCATGGCTTCAACCCTTGCTCTTGAATTGAATGCCTCATGCCTCCCCCCTGTAAAACTGCGCCAATAACTTTCTCATAACGGTTGTCATAAAGAGGAAATGAAGAAATATCACAGGTAGAAAGCCTAGAACAGTGGTCAGCAAAGCCAAATATCAACAATACAACAATTGAAATTTCTTTTGAGAGCCAAACTTTCTAAACTTAGACTTCTTCTCACACCACTTCATCAAAATAGACTCACCCAGGCTGTGGTATTTTGTGGAAAGCCACACTCAAGGGGCCAAAGAGCCGCATGTGGCTCGTGAGCCGAGGTTTGCTGACCATGGGCCTAGAACCATGTCTGGTGCATAACACTTGGTTACCTTTAGCTACTATTACTACTTCAGTGCCTAACGAAGAAGTAAAGCAGTTCAAAATCTGGTGGATTCTTTCCCTTGGACACCCCGTTTCCTTGCAGACATATCCAGCTCTTCCCCCAGCGTTGATTGCCTCTTTGGGTTCATTTGCCTGCCTGAGACCTGGAGACAGCAGGGCGGCGTCAGGACCTAGAATGCCGTCTGCAGACGGGCCCTAGGAGACGTGAACAAGCTGGAAGCAGGCGGGTTCAGGTGGAGAAGAGCCTGGAACCCAGTTAGGAGACCTCTGACCTCTAGTTCAGTGTGGTCTCTACTACCTGTGCAACCTCAGGCAAAGGACTCCCTGTCTCAGGCCTCTGTTTCCCTTTTTGTAGAAAAAAAGGATTTATAATTTTTTTGTGTTTCCTGTCTCACAGGGGTGCTAAGCTGACCCCGAACTAGGATGTGGGGGAGAATGCTCCCTAATTCCTAGCCTGGAGCCTGGAGAGAGGGAGAGGGAAGGGGTCCCACGTGACTAATCCGGCCTGGCCTTCCCAGGCTTCCGAGCGCTAGCTAGAGCGTCCCGTCTCTATGGTTCCAAGTCCGGTACAGACCCAGTTGCTCTTCCGGGGCAGCTGCCATCGCTTCCGGGGCGAGACGCGGCGAGCTGTGTCTTGCTGTGCTTCAGCTCCCCCTCGGTCTGCATCTTCTTGGCCCTCACCACCGCGATGAGCTTCCTCAAAAGTTTCCCGCCACCCGGGTCGGCCGAGGGGCTCCGGCAGCAGCAGCCCGATACCGAGGCGGTGCTGAACGGCCAGGGCCTGGGCACCGGCACTCTTTACATCGCCGAGAGGTAGGCGCCGGGCCCCGGGGGCTGCCCCGGCGCGCCGCCTGCCGCCTCGGGGGCCGCTGGGAGCGGGGCGGGCTCCGGGTGGCCTGGGAGCGTCCGTGCAGGTCTGGAGACGACCATCTCCTCCGGAGCTTTCCTTTCTCTCCTCTTCAGTCCGGGTTCTCATTGATGATGCTGTTTATCCTCCTGTTTACCGGGGGGACTGGTGCGTGCGCTGCCCGTGACTCGCGGTGTCGTTTTAAGCTTTTGAATGTTCAGACCCTGACTTAAGAGTCCTCGATGTGCCTGCCTGTCTCTTCCGACGAACAGATGCGGGAGATGTGGCCCTGGGCAGGTTATGCAGGTGTAGAGATGATTGTGGGACATTTCGGAAGTTTGGGTTAAGGACTTGATCCTTTTTTTTTTTTTTCTGTTAGGGTATGGCGTGGGCGAGGAACACCCTCAACCCCACACAGCTTGCTTATTTCCAGGGGGACCTGGCCTCTCACATCCCATTTCTGACCCGCATTTCCATTGCTAGAGGGCATAGCCCTTTTATTTGGCATCTGGAGCACTTTGTATTTTCACAGTCAGGCAGGTTCTAAATACTGCGGTTGTAGAACTAAGGCCCCGGTTTTCTTTGATGTGTATGATGTATATTCGTCATCAAGCCAACAGTGAAACCTTGAATCCTTACTGCCCTTCAAATCTTTCTGCTGCCTCGCTTTGGCCAGAGAAAATTCTCTGCTTTTAAGAGCTCCTGTGATTACATTGGACGTACACACATAAATAGGATGATCTCCATATTTATTGTCAACTGATTAGAAACTTTCATGACACCCACAAACTCCTTTTTTTTTTTTTTTTTTTTTTTTTTTTTTTTACCAGATAACTATGTAGTCACAATCTTAACTCCCAGGAATGAAAAACATGAAGGCCAAAATTCTGCCTGCCACAGAGGACACACACAAAATTTTAAAAAAACACCCTGGTTTAGAGAGAAACCTAGACATTGAACAGTGTGGCTTTTGGCCAGTCACCGAGATAAGAAATATGGATGAGAGGAGAAACAAGTTTTGACTGAGCTGCAGGTAATGAGTTTGCTTTGAACAGTGAGGAGTAGTTAGACACAAAAATGGGTGTACATATCTTCAGAGAGTGATATTAAAGAGAGAGGTTTGGAATTGTTAGTATAAGTGTTAGCATATAATCACGAGAATAGATTAGATACTCCAAAAAAGAACAAGGCCAAGGATAGAATCTTGGGGACACATATATACATTAGGAGAGGAAGGTTATGGAGAGGAAGGTTAAGAGATTGGAGAAGAGAGAGAACAGTAAAATCTGAAAAGCACCTGTTGGGTGTTGACAAGGAGATCCTTCGTGATCTTGAGAGAGCAGTGTCTTTTTAAGTGGTGGAAAGTGGAGCGCAGATATAGTTCTTTTTCTTTCTGTATTTGGCTTTTTCTATAACATAACCCTTTTGGGGGGAAGGGTCTATATATGGTTCTTCATTTTGAAAAATTTTAAACCTAAAGAAGACTTATATTGTTAGTTAATATCCATAGACCAACCTTTCACACAGATTTTTCAGTTAACATTTTGCCATGTGTTTCCTGTCTTTGAACTATTTGAGACTTGCAGACATGTTGTTACTTGATCTGTAAATACTTTAGTGTTTTCTCCCAAGAACAAGGACATTCTCCTGTTTAACCACAACACAGTTATCACATTCAGGAAGTACAACTCATTTGAAATTCTTATTCGTTTAAAATAAATTTCATTTCTCACACATTTTTTTACTTTTTTTGTAAATATATTTTTATTGATTTCAGAGAGGAGGGGAGAGAGAGAAATATCAATGATGGGAGAGAATCATTGCCTGGCTGCCTCCTGCCCGCCCCCTACTGGTGATTGAGCTTGCAACCTGGGCATGTGCCCTTGGCCGGAATCAAACTTGAGACCCTTGAGCCGCAGGTCGACATTCTATCCATGAACCAGACCACTAGGGCATTTACTTTAAGACCATAGTTTTCTGCCCTCGCCAGAGTGACTCGGTTGAGCGTCATCTCATGCACCAGAGTACATGCCTGGCCAGGTAGGGGGTATGCAGGAGGCAGCCTATTGATGTTTCTATCTCTCCCTCCCTCTCTAAAATCAGTAAAAACATTTAAAAAAAATTACTATTGAAAGAAAATACTTTTGTAAAAAACGTATATATGTGTGTGTGTGTGTATATATATTCTTTTTGTGTGTGTATATATGTATGTGTATGTGTATACTTTTATATGTGCATGCATATTTCAATTTTATAATACTATATCATATTATTTTAACATGTAATTACAGATATGTAATTACTGCACAAATCTTTCTTCTAATTAATTTCCTTTCAATGTGCATGAATCCATGCACCGAACCACTAGTATTGTTATAACAAAATATATACTTAAAAACAATATAATATATTTAGAAAGTTATTTACACACATAGAGCACACACACACAATCAAGCAGTTCTTTATTTGAGGAAATGAAGGCGAAAGGGTGGGAAAATAATAAAGCATGTTCATGAGCTTGGCTTTTAGCTCTTAGGGTTTGGGGAAACTGCTTTAGGATTTTAGGCAAAAAGGGCAACGTCTGATTTGGTTTTAGGTAAATATAGTTTCTCAGATATATATTGAGAGATTTAGAATTCTCAAATTTATTTTCAAAGCTTACTTTTCATAGGAAGTTGACGTTTTAGCCAAATAAGAAAGGGCTTGAATTATTCAAAGTAGATCATTTGAAACAGGTAAAAGAAAATAAGTAATTAAATTAAAAATAGGTAATTTTGCCCTGGCTGGGTGGCTTAGTTGGTTGGAGTGTCATCCCATATACCGAAAATTTGCAGGTTCAATTCTCAGTCAAGGCACATACTTACCAGTAGGTTTTGGGTTCAATCCCCTATGAAATCCCCCTCAAATCAATAAGCATATTCTTGGGCGAGAATTTAAAAGAATAAAAAGGTAATTGATCCAAAATTAGTTTAAAACCAAATAAACCAAATCAAATTCAAGACCTCTCTTACCTTCTTGTCCCGTTTTTCACCCTGTGCCAGGAATAAAGGACATTGATTATTCTGTGCAAAAGCATTCTAAATTAGCAAATCATTCTTTGCATGTTTATTGGTTTTCGAATTCTTCTATTTTTTTCTTTTGTGACTCATGCTTTCTTTGGGACTAGATATAGTTAATTTGATGGTTTTGGAGGGCATTTCTTCTAAAATATATAAAAAGATGATAAAATCAGAACTTAATGACAGAGTAAATGATGCTTTTTTAAAAAAAAACATATATTTTATTGATTTTTTTACAGAGAGGAAGAGAGGGGGACAGAGTGTTAGAAACATCGATGAGAGAGAAGCATCGATCAGCTGCCTCTTACATACCCCGCACCAGGGATGTGCTCGCAACCAAGGTACATGCCCTTGACCGGAATCGAACCCGGGACCCTTCAGTCCGCAGGCTGACGCTCTCTGTCCACTGAGCCAAACCGGTTTTGGCAGTAAATGATGCTTTTAAGTGGAACTTGCTTATGTATAAAATTATAAGAGCTCTCTGAGAGCTGCTCCGCTGAGGCAGCATTTGTGTCCCGCTAACAGTAGGGAACTACAGAGCAATTATGATGTGCTTTTTAAAGTCAAGGCCATAATTTGTTTAGAGTATTTCAGTTTTTCCATCTTTATAATGAGTCATTAAAGTAAGTTTTATGGCTCTGGATATTTGAAATTTTGGACACCCACATTTGGAATGCTGCTTTTAAAGTGCTTAAAATAATAATACTTTTAGTAAGGGACTGGCTATACTTTTGTGACATGTGACCACTATTTCATTCCCACAGTAAGATGAATGCGGTGGCCAGGAAAGGCACATGTAGCATGCACAATCTAATTGCAATAATAAAATCCATTTCCTTAGGACTACTGGGATGAGTCATTCTGAAAAATCATTTCTAGAGCTTTTACCACTTTAAGCTCGTTAAGATTGATTACTTTAAGCCTCCCACATTTTCTTTTTTAATAAGCATGTTCAGTGAAAATCTTTCCAGATGATAGTATGCACGTTTTTTGTTTTTGCTTTGCTAAGTATACAATTTATTAGATTTTAGTATACTCAGAGTTGTACAATTTTTATCACAATCTAATCCTCCCCTAAGTTTTGATAAGTAAGTATCATCATGTGTTATACACTTATGCTGTTAGACATCGATTTCCTTTAGAGGCACTGACATATGTGTTTAACCTCTCCTTACATTGACTGTGAATGAGCTGACTGCGGCACTGTCATTATTACTGCCAAGGGAATCCTAGCTTTTCTTACTGTGTCTGTTTTTTGCTTGGTTACAAATTAGAAAACCAGACTTGTTAAAACTGTATAGAAAATAGAATGATACAGGGGTTATATTGTATTAACTTCTTTTTAAAGTAACAACTTTATTGAGATACTGTAATTCATGTGACAATCAATTCATCATTATACATTTAAAGTACACAATTAAGTGATATTTAATCAATATCACTTAATTGGGTAACCATTGTTACAATCAATTTTAGAATATTTTTAATTTCCCCTAAAGAAGTCAACACCCATTAGCAGCCACTCTGTTTCCCTCTAGCCCTTTGTAACCACTATATTTCATTAGCTTTTCTTTCTTTTTTTTTTTTTTTTTTTAAGATATTTTTATTGATTTCTGAGAGGAAAGGAGGGGGAGAGATAGAAACATCAATGATGAGAAAGAATCATTAATTCGCTGCCTCCTGCACGACCCTACTGGGGATCAAGCCCACAATCTGAGCATGTGCCCTAATCCAGAATCAAACTTTGGACCCTTCAGTTTGTGGGCCTATGCTCTATCTACTGAGCCAAACCAGCTAGGACTATGTTTCCTTTCTATATCAATAAAATATTTGCATTTGACTCCTTTTGAGCTTGCTTAAAACTGTACCTTGCTTATCTGTGGCTTTCCTTTAAAGCTGCAAAGTAAATGAAAGTCTTAATAAAGTCTTTCAGTATGGTAATTATTTTATAACTTGTGGTAAGTATGATTATAGCCATTTCATGTATATTTCATTTAATGTAGGATTAGTGGAGAAATGAGTGATTCCCAAGTATTTCATACTTACTGGGTTAGTGGTTTTGAAGAACATTATATAAAGAATATGACAGTTTCTCTGATAGCTCACTTTCGGGTGAGGGTATATACCAGACTCATTATCATAAAGTTAAATGCTAAATGGTATATTACTGGGCATAAGTGCAATTTAGAAAAGGAAGAAATCATTATAGACTCAAGTAATTGGAGGAAAGACTCAAGGAGGAGCTGGGCCTTAACCAGATGAAGATGATTTGCAAAAGCAGAGAAGACCTTCCAAATAAGAGCAAGCATAAGAGGCATAGAAACACATATGTGAATTAAGAAAAATTGCATTTCTTTATATATATATATATATATATATTTTTTTTTAATTGATTTTCTTACAGAGAGGAAGGGAGAGAGAGAGAGCTAGAAACATCGATGAGATAGAAATATCGACCAGCTGCTTCTTGCACACCCCCTACCGGGGATGTGCCCGCAACCAATGTACATGCCCTTGACCGGAATCGAACCTGGGACCCTTCAGTCCGCAGACCGATGGTCTACCACTGAGCCAAACCGGTTTTGGCGAAAAATTGCATTTCTAATATACCTGAATTATTAGCTGGAGAAAAAGAGACAGTAACAGAATTGGTCTTAAATTCAATTCCTGCTACTGAATTTTCTTATTTTAGGAATATTTTTAAATAGTAAGCTTGATACTGTTATGCATAAAAATGTCTAAGCTGAACCTTTATAAATATCAGGAGGTTAAATTAGGATTTAATTGCTTGAAATAATCTACTTAAAACATGTTTTTCAGCCGCCTGTCTTGGTTAGATGGCTCTGGATTGGGATTCTCACTGGAATACCCCACGATTAGTTTGCATGCAGTGTCCAGGGACCTAAATGCCTATCCACGAGAGCATTTATATGTTATGGTGAATGCCAAATTTGAAGGTATGTATGGTAATTTAATCTTATATTTTTTTATTTTTATTTATTGATTTGGGGAGGGGGGAGAGAGAGGGAAATTGATTTGTTGTTCTACTTATTTATGCATTCATTGGTTGCTCCTTGAATATTCCCTTACTGGGATTGAACTTGCAACCTAGGCATGTCAGGACAATGCTCTAAACAACTGAGCTACCAGGCCAGGGCTGAGGTAATCTTGGGCTGGCATTGGTAAAATATTACATATTTAAAAGCAGTCTTTGATCATAATCAATGTAAAAGCAGTCTTTGATCATAATCAATGTAATGTTCAAGCCACTGGCCGATTTTGGATAATAGTTTCTTAAGCAAAATTTCAGCACAGTAAAATAAGTTGAACATTGCCTTTTTTATATATGCTTGCATTTAGAATTGTTCAGTTATTACGGGTTTATAGTTCTAATTTTTCCTCGTGGGTTTAACTGTTTATTTTCTTTCTCTCTATAAAGGCATTTATATTTGGCACCCTTACAAGTTTGGATCAGTATATTTTGTGCTTCCAAGAGTTTATGATAGAACCTGATTTGTTTTGCTTCATTATCAGTGGGGATGATGTTGCCCTCCCCCTACACTTAGCAGTGACATTTTGATACCATGACTGGAGTGAGGGAGTAGTGCTACTGGCATCTAGAAGTTAGAGAGCATGGATGCAGCAAAACATCCTACAATGCAAAAGATAGCCTTCCACATCAAAGGATTATCTAGGTCAAATGTCAATAGTGTCAGGATTGAGAAACCATGCAATATAAGATTCCCAAATTTTGCTATTGAAGATAACTTCCAGGATTCATAAAAATCTAGTGAGGTTGATAAAAGATGAAATAAGAAAGATTAAAAAAATCAATTTTTTAGGCTGTAAATTATGGGTTATAAGAATTCTGAATGAGCTCTGAAGAGGTAGCACAGTTGGCTAGTGTGTAGTCCCGATAAGCCAAGGTTGCAGGTATGATCTCTGGTCAGGTCACATACAGGAAGCAGCCAATGAACGCATGACTAAGTGGGACAACGAACTCACGTGTTTCTCTCCCTTAACCACTTCCTCTCTCAAAAAAAGAAAATCAATTAAAAAAATTGGAATTCTCAATGAGAAACAAGTTAGGCACAAGATAAAAAGTAAGATGTGGGTATACTATATTGTGTTAGTTTAATATGTTCATTTTTTTATGTGGAAGTACAGAACTTTGGGATTAAAGGACATTTGTAAAACCTTTAGTAAACTTGCTTTTAAATAATGGGTGCTGCTTTTCTTTGAAATAGCGTACAAAAGACAATCCCATAAGTTTGCCTATTGAGCTATTGCTCCTTCAATTTGGGATTTTAATATAATTCCTGATATAAGATGACCATTTATATTCAGCCCTAGCTGGTTGACTCAGTGGATAGAGCACAGGCCTGCAGACTGAAGGGTCCCAGGTTTGATTCCGGCCAAGGGCACATGCTCAGGCTCAATCCCCAATAAAGGGTATGCAGGAGGCAGCCGATCAATGATTCTCTCTCATCATTGATGTTTTTATCTCTCTATCCCTTTCCCTTCCAATCTAAAATCAATAAAGAAATATACTTGTAAAAATTATTTATTTTCAGTGTGACACCAATTATTTAGTAATTTTTAGGGCATTTGGCATCTTCTGCCTCATTAAATGACTGATTCAACTATTTGAGAATATTTTTGTTACAAGATTTCATTACCATTGGAAAGGGCCCAAAGATAGATAAAAATCTAGTCGAGTCTAAAAGAAAGGGTAAGGAAAAGGAAAAGCCTTTGACCTTGGGTTATAGTAAGACTTCCAAATGAGGTATTGACACAAAGTTTACTTTGCATCTAAGTAAATGCAACTGTAATTTCATAACCAAGAGTACTCTGTATCATATTTAGTTTAAAGGCATTCATTCATTCATAGAAATGGGAATCCTTAGAGGTACCTTTGTCAGTCAATTTCAAATGCTGATGTGAAATGCCCATAAACAATGTAGACCACTGCCATTGGTCAAAGGCAAAAAATAAGGTTGAAGAGGTTGGGTTCAAATAAACCTAGCTTGAATAAAACTAGATAAAGAGAAAAGCACACTGAATAAAAAGATTCATTAACTTGGTAGGCAAATCATTATCATCTCTGCACCCCAATTTCCTGTTTTATTTTTAAATTGTTTACTTTTTTAAAAAAAATACATTTTATTGATTTTTTTACAGAGAGGAAGGAAGAGAAATAGAGCATTAGAGACATCGATGAGAGAGAAACATTCATCAGCTGCCTCATGCACACCTCCTATTGGGAATGTGCCCGCAACCGAGGTACATGCCCTAGACTGGAATCGAACCTGGGACCTTTCAATCTGCAGGCCAACGCTCTATCCACTGAGCCAAACCGGTTAGGGCTAATTTGTTTACTTTTTAAATCCTCACCTGAAGATATTTTTCCATTGATTTTTAGAGAGAGTGGAAGAGAACGGGAAAGACAGAAATATCAAAGTGAGAGAAACACATTGATTGATTGTCTCCCACAAAAGTCTGGACAGGGCCTGGGCTGGGGAGGAGCTTGTAACCTAGGTATATGCCCTAGCCAGAATCAAACTCGGGACCCTTCTATCTGCTGGCCACCTGCTCTATCCACTGAGCCAAACCGGTGAGGGCTTTGCACCCAAATTTTATCCAGAAAAATCAGGAGATTGTAGTACTCATTAGATCTTAAACCTGGCTGCACATTAGAAACCTGGGACTCTTGTTAAAAGCAAATGTTGGGAGTCCCAAACTAGGAAGTAAGGATTCATAGACCTGGTGTAGGCTTTTTTCTTTTCTATATATATAATTGGTTTCAAAGAAGAAGGGAGAGGAAAAGAGAGACATCAATGATGAGAGAATCATTGATTTGTTGCCGCCTGTACGCTTTCCACTAGGGATCAGCCAGGGCATGTGCTCTTGACCGGAATCAAACCCAGAATTCTTCAGTCCACAGGCCGATACTCCATCTACTGAGCAAAAAGGCTAGGAGTGGTGTAGCCATTTTAAGTATTTGCTCTGTAATTATATTCTTTTCTTTTAAAATATCTTTTTATTGGAAGAGAGAGGGAGAGATAAAAACATCAATGATGAACCAAAACCGATTTGGCTCAGTGGTAGAGCATAGGTCTGCGGACTGAAGGGTCCCGGGTTCGATTCCGGTCAAGGGCATGTACCTTGGTTGCGGGCACATCCCCGGTAGGGGGTGTGCAAGAGGCAACTGGTTGATGTTTCTCTCTCATCGACGTTTCTAGCTCTCTGTCTCTCTCTCTTCCTCTCTGTAAAAAAATCAATAAAATATATTTTTTTAAAAATCAGTGATGAGAGAGAATCATTGATTTGTTGCCTCCTGCACATCCCATACTGGGGTTCAAGACGGCAACCTGGCCATGGGCCCTGATCAGGAATCAAACCATGACCTCCTGGTTCATAGGTCAGTGTTCAGCCACTGAGTTATGTTGGCTGGGCTATAATAATTTTCTTGAAATAAATGGAATTAGGACTTTTCTATCTTCCTTGGATTACATTTATTTCAGTGATTCTCCAGTTCTTTTCTGGAACTCCACTCTTCTCATAAATTACACATGCTTGGATCCTATTTCCCCAAATTTTGTTCCTTTCATCCTGATTCTCTAAGCTCCAGACTCTCTTTCTCTTTGGCTAACCTCCATATCCTCTTTATTTTTAACAAATGGTTAATTAAATTATTTTTTTAATTGATTGATTTTAGAGAGAAAGGAAAGGAGAAGCATTGATTTGTTGTTCCACTTATTTATGCATTCATTGGTTGATTCTTGTATGTGCCCTGACTGGGGATAGAACCCACAACCTTTGGACAATGCTCTAACCAACTGTGCTATTAGACCAGAGCCTCCATAAACCTTTTTAAGGTGGACCATCAGATTATTGTTAAGGACATTAGATGACTTTTAAAATAACTAAAGATTCATTGCCATTGTTGTAAATTTAGAAATATTCAAAAAGACTGCAAGTATAGCAGCCACTGATGAGTGTTGGTCATGGTCATTATTTGTAAAAATACTTTATTACATTTCTATTTATTGCCCTAAGGTAGATTCCTAAGGATACAGGGTAGGAAAAATGGGTTTACAGTTCTGATTTATGTAAAACACAGAGTTTATTCTTGTGTTACTATTTATTAATTATTGTATTATCTGTTTTATGACTGTAAACCTACTTTTGTTCTCCCTGTATAAAAGAAACTTAATAGTATTTTTTTCTAGGGAGGGACTAGGTTTGTGCCATCTAGCTAGACTCTTTCAATTATCTTATTACCAGCATGTATTATTTTTACAAGTTAAAAAATGTTAATTCAGTTATAGAATAATAATTACAGTGTGATATCATTTTTCTTCCTCACCCAAGGATATGCTTTTTATTTATTTTAGAGAGAGGCAGGGAGAGAGAGAAAGAGAGAGAGAAACATTGATGTGAGAGGGAAACGTCGATCGGCCGCCTCCTGCACACGGCGCCCTGACCGGGAATTGAATCCACAACCCGGGTATGTGCCCCAACCAGCAATGGACCCACCACTCCTCGGTGTACGGGACAACGCTCTAACCGGCCAAGCCACACCAGCCAGGGCTCATTTTGTTTTTTAAAATGCATTGAAATGTTTGGTAGTACTTTCTATAATTATTTAAAGTTCTCTGATGTTTTGTATTGTTTTAAGTTGTTTATGGAGGATTTGTATGTTATATTTAACAATATAATAACAGAAACAGGGCAGAAAAAGTCCTATTTAATTGGTTATTTAAAACAGTTAATACTGGCCATTTAAGTATTTTCCCCTTTTTGCTTATCTATTTTTTTTTTTCATTATACAGTAAGCTTGTATGACTTATAAAATTAAGTTTAAAAAATTTAGTAGATATCTTCCTATGATTGATTCCTATGAGTAGAATTATTACATTAAAGGTAATAAACATTTTTAAAGCTCTCAAAATTATCAAATTGCTTTCCAGAAAGCTTATATCAATATACAGCTTGAATAACAGTATATAAGAATACCTTTTCACCTTATCTTCATCTGCATGAAGAATATTATTGGTTTTAAACATGTTTTATGTTTTGGGAGTCTATTTAAGTATTTTGTTGACTTTTTTCCCCTAATGAAGTAATTAAAACATTAAAAAGTTCACAGAGTAATAAATTTTTCATTATTTAATATCCAGCATAAACTATAACAGTCTTTGTAGTTATTCTAGTTATTCTAGTCTTTCTAATAAAGAAAAGTACATGAATACTGTTGAAATCCTTTTTGTATCCTTTCCCATTTCATTTCTTACTCTCTGTCTCTGGAATTAAGTATTCTAAAGATTTTTACTGAATATATACCTATAAGCAGTATAATGATTTAGTTTTATGTTTAAATTTTTAATGTAAGTGGCATTATGTATATTCTGCAACTACCTTTTTTTACATATATTTTTATTTTTTATATTATTAGTTTTATTTTTTCTTACTTGAGATATGCTTTTTATTGATTTTAGAGAGGGGAAGGGAGCAAGTGAGAGAGAGAAACATCAATTGGTTGCCTCTCGTATGTGCTCCAACTGGGAATTGAACCCGTCACCTTTTGGTGTACAGGACAATACTCCAAGCAACTGAGCCACACCAGCCAGGGCTTTTTAAATTATTTTTAAAATTTTACTTTTCAATTATAGTTTACATTCAACATTATTTTGTATTAGTTTTAGGTGTACAGTATAGTTGTTGGGTGATTTATATTTTAAAATATATTTTGATACATGTAAATCACATTTTATTTTTTTAAATTGATTTCAGAAAGGAATGAAGAGGGAGAGAGAGAGAAACATCAATGATGAGAGAGAGTCATTAATCAGCTGCCTTCTGCATATTCCACACTGGGGATATCAAGCCCAAGTGCCCTGACCGGGAATGGAACCTTGACCTCCTCCTAGTTCATAGGTCAGTGCTCAACCATGAGCTACACTGGCCATGCAACATATAATACTTTAATAAACATACATTCATGTACAAACTTCTTGTGCATATAGTATGTATTTAGACTAGGAATTGCTGGGTAATAGCATTTCCAGAGTGGTTGTAACAATTTCCGCTTCCACCAGCAGAGTGTGTACAGTCTGTATTTTTTCTTGCTTACAGACTTTAATTTATCTGTTGGATTAGTTAACTTTTTGGGGCTTTAATTTCTCATCTGTGGGTTTTTTTGTTGACATTGGAAAACTGTACTTATTAGAGGCCTGACTGTTTGAGTTTCCTACCCCCTGCGGGGACTTGAAATTCCTAGAGCTCAGTGAAGTACAGGGTAACTAGACCAGAGAGACTATCCCAGAGACTTTTTTAGCTCTAAAATAATGTGTTCTTGTAATTTGAAGTAAAAATTGAAATTTTAGTATTTAGATAGACCAATAAGCATCCTTTAAGAAATTCTTTTAGGCTTTTTTCCAAAACGAGTAATATCATAAAAAAAGTTATTTTTATTCCCTTTCTAGAAGAATCAAAAGAATCTGTTACTGATGAAGAAGAGGAAGACAGTGATGATGATGTTGAACCTATTGCTGAATTTAGATTTGTGCCTAGTGATAAATCAGCATGTGAGTGTTTATAGAATTGATTCTTTTCTTCTTACATATAAGGTATTCTCCATTGACACACACACTTTTACTTTTACCCTCATTACCTCTGTTCTGCTTTTTCTTCATTTTAGCATCTATAATATTGAGAATCAGATATCTGTACATTCATTATAACAAAGATAGTGAATTAACTTCATAGTATAAGAAGCAAATGTACAACACAGAATGGGAATAAAACAGATAGTGAATGTATAATAGACACCATATTCTTTCGTGTGCTTTGTGAATGGAGGGATCTGGTTATTTTTATAAACTTTGAAATATTTTATGACTGAATTTTACCAGATAGAGGACAGAGGAGTCATGGCAGTTCCAAAATGGAAGATGTCAGAGTGAGTCCTTTTAACCGTGAGGGGCTTCACTCTGGTACTACCGTGTTTCCCCGAAAATAAGACCTAGCACAACTTTGGGAGAAAAATTAATATAAGACACTGTCTTATTTTCTGGGAAACAGGGTAGCAGTTTGACCAAGATTCTCTGACTCTTTTCCTCAGAAAGTCCAACCAGGCATGAAGAGATCTCAATAATATCCTGAAATGAACTCTTATTATTTTGTGACATATTCACTGCCATGAAGCACTTTTCAAGATTGATTCACCTTAAATTTGGCAGGTTTTGTGAATATTGTGACCTAGTATATCTCTTGTTTACCCATTAAATTTATTTGCATTGATGGTTATTTAATTAAATTTTAATTGCACTTTGGCCAGGAAGAAATATTAATTATAATTTAATTTTCTTGTTCAGTGGAGGCAATGTTCACTGCAATGTGTGAATGCCAGGCTTTGCATCCAGATCCTGAGGATGAAGATTCAGATGATTACGAGGGAGAAGAATATGATGTGGAAGCACATGGTTAGTGAAATGAATTTTTTAAAAGTGTTTGTGTCTTTCATTTTAAGCATTTATTTGTAGTAAGGGGTAGGATTATAGATTTTTTTAAAATGTATTTTTATTGATTTCAGAGAGTAAGGGAGAGGGAAAGAGAGAGAAACATCAATGATGAAAGAGAACCATTGATCAGCTGCCTCCTGCATGTCCCACACTGGGGCTCAAGCACCTAATGGGAATTAAACTGTGACCTCCTGGTTGATGCTCAACCACTGAGCTATGTTGACCAAGCCATAAATCATTATGTCTCTGATAAATACCTATATACTATGACTCTATTATAATGAAAGTGAATGGCATAATTCATGTCTATGCCAAAAATGGGAAAGTTTATGGGCTTTCCAAGGTAGATGGAAAAAAATAGAGATTATTAGGAGGTGAAGGGAAAAATGGAAAGAGATCAATGGAAGAAAAGAAAATGGTAGCTAGGAAAGTGGGTAGTTAGGAGAGTCTTTTTAAGTTGATGTAGCTGCTACCAGAGAATAAAACTTCTTACTTTACACTTAAAACCTGTTTCGTCTACATTTTTCTTAAAGATCTGCCTTTAGATAGCTCACTGCCGAAGTTATTTCTTTTTCCCAGACCTTATTGATTTCAGGGTATTTCCCCTTCCTCTAACCAGAATCCAGTCAGTAGTTTGGTAGAGAGAGTCTTGTGACTCGAGATGCCTGCTATTCTCTTTTCTTTTCCCCATGGTCTTGACCTGTGCATCAGTCTGGCTATGCAATACCCTTTCCTCCATGAATGTCCACTTCTTGGCCTAAGACAAGCTAATTCTGGCATTTTATTTTCTTTAAATATATTTTTATTGATTTTTTACAGAGAGGAAGGGAGAGAGAGTTAGAAACATCAATGAGAGAGAAACACCAATCAGCTGCCTCCCACACACTCCCACTGGGGATGTGCCCACAACCAAGGTACATGCCCTTGACCAGAATCGAACCCGGGACCCTTCAGTCCGCAAGCCAGCACTTTATCCACTGAGCCAAACCAGCCAGAGCTAATTCTAGCATTTTCTTTTGTATATATAAACACATCCTCATCTTAGCTAAGAATTTTTTTTTATGCTTTTTTAAAATCTTTTTTGCATTTTCCAGTATTTCTGATCTTTTAAAAGGAGCATCTAATGAAAAAACCTTGAGTACCAATTAATGGCAAATTAATTTACACTCATCTATATATTTTCTACCTTTGAATAATATAAGACCGTCTGGCCTCAGGAGCACCTTCTTCCTTCTAGTCGCTGGGCATTTGATTCTTTGGGAATTGCTATTTCCTGACTTATTCTCTCTTATAATCCCTTCTCATTCTAGAGGGGCACTTTCTTTATCTCTGTTTTCCAATAGATGGTCTGTATGTGAATGTTAAATGATGTTGAAAAATATTTTCCTGGAAGCCTTTTTTCACTGTGCCTTGTCTTTTGTAAATGCAGTATTGAGTACTTATTTTTCTCCTCATGGTGTTATAATAGCTAAAAAGTCTTTTATTTGCTTAGAACAAGGGCAAGGGGACATCCCTACATTTTACACCTATGAAGAAGGATTGTCCCACTTAACAGCCGAAGGCCAGGCCACATTGGAGAGATTAGAAGGAATGCTTTCTCAGTCTGTGAGCAGCCAGTACAACATGGCTGGAGTCCGGACAGAAGATTCAATAAGAGATTATGAAGGTAAGTATCTTTCTTTCTATCAGTTTGAACAGTCAGATATTCATTTAGGCAACAAGGTCAGCTATGGAGAGACATATATGGTTTTTTAAATTTTTTTTTATTGATTTTCTTTTTAGAGGAAGGGTAAGGGATAGAGAAATAAAAACATCCCTACTGGGGATCGAACCTGAAATCTGGGCATATGCCCTTGCTGGGAATTGAACTGGTGACCTCTTGGTTTCTGGGTCAGTGCTCAACCACTGAGCTACACAGCCGGGCCATATACAAGTTCTTTTGGAAACTAAGAGAAATCTCAGAATTAACTTTGTAGTGTAGGAAGCAAATGTAGAATTACGTAGAATGGGAATACTTGTGTAAATTTCTTAAAACTCTTTTCCTAACTACAAAAATAGTCTATAAACAGTCAAATTAAAAAAAAGGGGGGAGGGTGGGGGAGCACAGGCAAAGGAGAAAGAAAAAATCAAGTATAATTCTAATTGAAAACATCTATAAAATTTCTGTTGCATATCTTTCCTATCTTTTTGTTTGCTTGTGTATATATTGTGTGTATGCATGCGTTGTGTTGCTATTTTTAGTTTTAAAATGAATTCCTACATGATGATATGAAAAACTAGTATAGTCAATTGATTCAAAGGCTGACGCAGCAAGAAACTTGGGTTCTCTTTTTGTGACCAACATCTGAGCCTTAAATAAGTGGCTTTAAAATATTTATGTTTTAGTTGGGTTCTCTTTCCTAAATATCCTAATTAAATTAGATTCTTAAAATTTTATATATGTGTGTGTGTATGTATGTATGTGTGTGTGTGTGTGTGTGTGTGTGTATACACACATATATATATTATTGATTTTTCACAGAGAGGAAGGGAGAGTGATAGAGAATTAGAAACATCGATGAGAGAGAAACATCGATCAGCTGCCTCCTGCACACCCTCTACTGGAGATGTGCCTGTGACCAAGGTACATGCCCTTATCCAGTATCATACCTGGGATCCTTTAGTCCACAGGCCAATGCTCTATCCACTGAGCCACACCAGTTAGGCCAATTCTTAAAATATTTGATTCAGCCTTTACCATTTATTCCCTTATCTAATCCAATACTGGGTTCCATGGATTTTTCTTTTAAATGACTTTTAGGTCTCCTTGTTATTACTACTGCTATCTTCCAAATTTAAGCCCTTTTCTTCTCATGCTGTATTTACAGTTGTACATTTTTTTGCCTCCATCATCCCTTCTTCCAACTCACTGTGCCATATTAATCTTCTGAGAACACTCTTGTTACCCCTATATAAAGATATCTCCTCTAATGGTTGCCTGATGCTCACCATATCAAGTTCAAACTTGTTATTCGGACTCTGAGGAGAAAACCTTATCTTTGCCTCAAATATCTCCAATATTGTCCCTACTATCCTCAATAAAACATTTAAATGATGCTCTTAACGTGCCAGCCCCTGATTTAAGCATGACAAATATTTACTCATATAATCCTCCTAAGAACCCTCTATGACAGATGCTGTTATGATCTCCATTTTACACATGAAAAAACTCAGGCACAAAAAGCTCACATAATGTGCTTCATGCCAAATCCTATATAATAAAGAGCTAATATGCTAATTAGACTGGATGGCAGAACAACCTTCCAGAATAACCAGTGGGTGGGGTAGGGCTGCCCCACATCTATTGTCCTCAGAAGGTGGCGGCAGCTGGGGCTGCCAGGGCCGAGCCCCTTGCACAAATTTTGTGCATCGGTCCTCTAGTACCGTGTTTCCCCGAAAATAAGACATCCTCCGAAAATAAGACCTAGCACCTGGAAAGATTAGACATCCCCTGAAAATAAGACCTAGCACAACTTTGGGAGAAAAAATTAATATAAGACACTGTCTTATTTTCGGGGAAACAGGGTAGCTAATAAGTGGTGAGAGGATTAAATGAGTTAATATGCAAAAATAATATACCAAGCACTGTTATAAGCACTTCTTGAATCTTGTATGTGTTTAATATCCTAATATATAAAAACCCAGGATCTGTAACGACTGAACACCAGAAGTCAGTCCTGCAGTCACTTGACTGCTGCTGGTGTGGGTGCAGTGACCCAGCACTGACTACCAAAGGGGCTGTGGATCAGGCCCAGAGAGAGGCCTAAAGAGAGGAAGGGTTTGATCCGCAGCCTCTGTGGCAGCTGTTGATCAGACCTTGCCCCTCTCCAGGCTTCGCCAGGAGCTGTGCTTCTCTTTCTCTCCGGGCCTCCGCAGGAGCTGCTGATCAGCTCTGCCTCTCTGATCAGGCCCGGAGATAGGCCTGGAGACGCTGAATGGCATAGAAAATGACAAATCAGAATCAACTCTGGGTTCCATTGAGGAGTCATTGGCTGCCTCGGAGGCAGAGTTTTTGACAATGACTAGTATAGAAACTGACCAATCAGCCCTAGCTGGTTTGGCTCAATGGATAGAGTGTCAGCCTGTGGACTGAAGGGTCCCAGGTTTGATTCCGGCGCCTGTGTTGTGGGCTTAGTCCCCAGTAAAGGACATGATGCTATCTGTGATCTCTGTCATCATTGATGTTTCTGTCTCTTTCTCTTCCTTCTCTAAAATCAATAAAATATATTTTAAAAAAGAAAGAAAGAAAGAAACTGATCAATCAGAACCAAATCTGGGGGAATTGTGAGGAGCCAATGGCTGCCAGGGAGGCAGAGCTTTTGACAACTGCATAAAAACTGACCAATCAGAACCAAATTGGCAGGCAAAGGAGGGCTATTGGGGGCCAGATCAGGCCAAGCAGGTGGAGGCCCATTGAGGGGCAAGATCAGGCCCATCAGCCTAAACCGGCAATGGACATTTCCAAGGAGTCCCCAGTTGGAGAGGGTGCAGCCTGGGCTGAGGAAACCCCCCTCTCTGCACGAATTTCATGCACTGGGCCACTAGTATGTTAATATTTTGTGTTGCTACAAAATTTTAATGTTTTTAATTATAAGTGACATCGAATATTAAAGAGCTGCTATCTTTTTCTTTTATTGGTACATTTAAATTTCTTTCATAATATTCTAATCAACATCTCTGTACATATGGCACGTTAACCTAGGAATCTTGAAGTTCTGGGTCCTTTTAGTTTGGAAAATTTAGGTTGTGTTATTCCTTGTGTCTCCTCTCCATTTTAAGCATTGGCTAATAAATCTCTAACATAGGCTTTAAGGTGAGATGGCTCAGATGATTTCTAGTGCCCTACCAAACTCTTAGCTGAAAAAATGCAAGATGTTACCTTTTTATTATAGTGATTGGAGAGTGCCATCGAAAAGCCTTTCATCATTGAAGCTTTTTTAAAAATTGTAAAATCCTTTATTTAATGCTTTGTAACAAGTTGATTTTAAGATCTCAAACACTTTGCTAAAATGAGATTTTTTGTGAATTTTTATTTCTAAGTTTTATTAGCATATTGAGAGTTACTGTTACCTATATATAAAACTTCTTCAGACTATACCCCGTCTTCTAAACTCCTGAAGTTTGTCACTTTTTGACATTTATTTATTTAGTTAATTTGACCTTTTTTTTAAAGAAAATTTTAAAATAAAAGTTGTATATATTTAAGATATGTAATATGATGTTTTAATATATATACATAGTGAAACAATTACTGTAGTCAGACTAAATTCTGTCTCCATGCATAGTTATCTTTTGATGTCTATATTTGTGGTGGGAAAACCTGAGATCTGTTTTAGTAATTTCAGTCTTTTTGCTATTTAAGCACAGGTACTATCTACCAGTGGCATTTCAATGCTTTGTGTGCTTATGTTAAATGTTGTTGGTTTTTTTTGCTACTGTACCAGGTATTGAGAATATGGCAGGGCCCAAGAGAGATGAGGTTAATATCTTTGTATTAACTTTAGAGGAGAGAAAAATAAAATTATTGGGCAGTTACATTTCATTGTGGTATAGTGTTGAGATACAGGGGCAGCTTGAATAGCTGCAGTGTCAGAGGCTGGACTCTTCATCCAGCCTGGATAGTCAAGGGAGAGAATCAAACAACATAAGTGACATCTAAACCATGACCTGAAAGATGAATAACGATGACCCTGGTGAAGAGGGATTGCATGAAGGTTAGGTAGGCAGTAAAAGGGTCATCCATGTGCTAGTTGAGAACTGAAAGTAGTTCATTATGTCTGCAACTCTGTGAGTGAAGGGTAGTTATAGCAACAGATAAAGAAGGAACTTGAAGCTCTGTTAAAGAATTTCAATTTTATGCTTAGGTCGGTGGAAAGCCATGGAACACTTTGATTAGTGTTTCTCTGGCTAAGCTATGGGAAATTAGTTGCAGAGGAAAATACTGGAGAAAAGAAGAGAAACCTGTTAAGTAACCTAAGTCTTAAATTAGATGAGAGGTAGTGGCTCAAATTAGGTAGTAGCACTGAATGTCAAAAAAACAAAACCAAAACAAAACAGATTTAGGAGATATTTAAAAGATAGAAGCAATAGAAGTTAGAGATGTGATGGGGGTTTTACTTGTCCTAATCCAATGGTTGGCAAATTCATTAGTCAACAGAGCCAAATATAAACAGTACAACGATTGAAATTTCTTTTGAGAGCCAAATTTTTTAAACTTAAATTTCTTCTAATGCCACTTCTTCAAAATAGACTCACCCAGGCGTGGTATTTTGTGGAAGAGCCATACTCAAGGGCTCTCGAGCTGCAGTTTGCCGACCACGGTCCTAACCTCCCCCTTTTAAAAAAAATAAGATGAGATAAATAGGAAAAGTGAGAACCTTGCTTTACTTTGTTTGTTTTTTTTCCTCCTGAATTATGTCAAAGTTCTGTGAAGATAGGACTTTATACTTGAGGGGGAAAAAAAAAGTTGCACAGAAATCCCTACCTAGCCGAAACCGGTTTGGCTCAGTGGTAGAGTGTCGGTCTGTGGACTGAAAAATCCTGGGTTCGATTCCGGTCAGGGGCATGTACCTTGGTTGCGGGCACAACTCTGGTAGGGGGTGTGCAAGAGGCAGCTGGTCGATGTTTCTCTCTCATCGATGTTTCTGGCTCTCTATCTCTCTCCCTTCCTCTCTGTAAAAATCAATAAAATATATTTAAAAAAAGAAAGAAAGAAAGAAATCCCTACCTAACACAGTTCTGTGAAGAGTGAACAATTGTAACTGCGTTTGCAAGTTCCTACCTTATGTTAGTGTTGAGACAGAATTTACAAAATAAATGTTAAAGTGTTTTAACTCATTTTACCTTGGCCTAAATCCACAGGTGGCATTTTTTGTTCTCATTGTGTTCCTTTATAGTACTTGCATTTTCAAAATAGAAAAAAATAGGAACTCTTATCAACAGAGGGCACTAGCTTCTTTCTGGTCAAAATATTAGCTGAATCTTTACATGTTTAAAGTGCTCTGAAGACTTTGCTCAGCAGTCAATTTTGTTTCTTCAGATGGGATGGAGGTAGATGCTACACCCACGGTTGCTGGACAGTTTGAAGATGCAGATGTTGATCACTGAAAATGATTTTATGTTGCTTTGGGGTAAGTAGTTTGTTTTTCCCTTGTCACTGAACATGAAAATCCTGTCTAATAATTAATTTTTATTTTCATAATTCAGGAGGATTGTATAAAATGAGCAGTTTGGAAAAAAGTAATCCATTTCTGACATTATTGAAAATTATGTGTGTGGCGTTTTCTTTAAGAAATCAGGGTCTACAAGCATGGTGATGTTCAGGTTAATTAACAATTACTGAGCATTTAACACACGCCAGGCACTGAGAGTATATGGAAGATTAAGACACACCTGTCTTCAGTGAACTGAGGAGAATGACATTAGCCCTTTTTTCAAAAATGGAGTGCTCCTGGCTGGCTCAGGTGGGAGCTGCAAAGCTTGAGATCATGTCCTGGTCTGCTCGTGAGTCACCTTTCCCCATTTGTGACTTGAAACCTTAACGTTTTCTTTTTTTTTATTTTTATTTTATTTTATTTATTTATTTATTTATTTATTTATTTACATATTTTATTGATTTTTTTTTTACCCCCCTCCCTCCCTCCCACACATCCCTCCCTCCCCAGAGTTTTATGTCCATTGGTTGTACTTATATGCATGTATACAAGTCCTTCGGTTGATCTGTTATCTCCCCCACCTTAACGTTTTCTTTTCAAATATATTTTATTGCCTTTTTTTTTTTTTTTTTTTTTTTTAACGGAGAGGAAGGCAGAGGGATAGAGAGCCAGAAACATCAATGAGAAACAACGATCAGCTGCCTCCTGCACACCCACAACTGGGGATGTGCCCACAACCAAGGTACATGCCCCTGACCAGAATCAAACCTGGGACCCTCAGTCCACAAGACTACGCTCTGTTCACTGAGCCAAACCAGTTAGGGTGAAACCTTAACATTTTCTTCAGAAAACACAAAGCAGAGATTTGCTGCAACTCACTGCTGTTCAAATCAGGGAGGAAGTAGAAGTAATTTCAAACTTTATTAAGCTTCTATTCATAATCTTGTGTTGGTTTCTCTACTTCTGAAAATACTGGTGGACCTAGGTCCTGGGCACCTGACTGTTCAAGGTTGGTTTGCCAAAGCATAACAAGTCCATGTACAGTTGTCCAAAAGCTATCATTTTCCAATTGTTTCTTACCTGCTCTTCCTAATACAAGAGCTCACTGCCAATTTTCTGCCCTCTGTTCTTCTCATGAGTTTCGTCTGCATTTTGTTCTTGTTTATTTGCTTCATGGTACTCTGAGAAATCAGTTGTCCTGTGCAAGCTTGAACATCGCAACTAAATGTTAGATAATAACCCTCTGTACACCATAAGTGACTATAGGTATAAATTTTGCATATCAACTCTTGTCGCCCAATTTTAAAATCAGACTTGTTGGTGACATCTCTGGGTTTGTAAAGGAAATTATGGTAACTTAAATTTGTAAATATTCCAGCGTATATAGAAAAAATTCATATATATGGCAGACTAAGACCACGAGATAAACCCTGTGACACTTGAGTACTTGAGATTTGTTTGTGTTACCATGAATTACACGCCTAAAATGGTAAACATGGTGTGCATTCTTCATTATTTTTTTTTACAGATTTCGTCTTTTGAGACTTTTCATGTCAACAGTTTATTTAGCACTTGCTTTTGTTGATATTTCCATAGAATTGAAAATTTTGAATTTATCATTGTAATATATTATATTGTGCAAATAAAATTCATTCCTCATTAATGGCATCAGATGAAAAAATAATCGAACCAAGCACCTCACAGGAAGAAGTGACATCCTTTATTCAACTCCAGAATCAGATGATTTTTTAAAATTAAATTCAAAATATTATGATGTGTGGTGATGGTTTCAGTTTTGGATGCATGGCAGTTAATAGGTTAAAGTTTATGTAACTAGTTCATATCATACAGAGCCAAGACGAATAATCCTAGCAACCCTTCCTTATAAGCTGTAAGATTTTCACATTAAGTTACTATTCCTCTTCTTTATGATGTTCAGGTTAATTAACAATTACTGAGCATTTAATTGTGTCCTGCCTCTGATTTGATAGCATTTTCTTGAATACTAGCTTTCTTCCAGTCTTTGAAATTCTACTTACGTCCAGCTTTATTTTAATAATTTATTATAATAAATACTTTATTTTATTAAAGCAGGTAGCAGTAGCATGGCAAGATTTATATATTTTAACTTGACTCTTCTGCTATTGTTAGGCATCTAATTAGGTTGTGAGATCCATTATCCAAGTTCCACTTACCTTCCAAATTATTGCCGTTATGAATATAACAATGCTTCTTATACTTATCATGCTTTCATCTCAGGTGCTGCCAGGTGAACTATCAGAAAATACTGTCTTACAGTCCTTCTCTTTTTCTTTAAATACGTGATTTTTATTTCTGCAACATTTACTTCTGTCATTGGTAGCCATACCATCTAAAATTAGCAATATCCCCTCTACAGTTAGCTAAAAAATTATATTCATATTGCTGGAGCTCTGTTAACTTTAATTTTCATACCTCATAGTTTCAGATGCCATCACTTCAGCATTTTATTTCATGGGAACTCTTTTGGTATAAACTTAATTCTTTCTTTTTGTCTTACACTTTATTTATCATATTCTTTATAGCATGTTGTTTTTTCAATTCAGTAATATTTTTTATATCTTTTATTGAAAATGGAAAACAGATTTATTTGATCTGTCTTTCACATATTTCTTCCTGAAAAGTAGACTAGAAAACACCAACCACTCATTAATAAGGATTAGAGAAACTCATTTGGTCTGTCACTAATGGTTGCACAAATGGGATGTCATTGCAGTTCCTAGGAGAGAATTTGTAGCATACTTTGTAATGTAATTTTATGGTGAAATAACCATAAAATAGCCACAAACCTTCTAATGAGGTGATTTGTTTTCTATTCATTTTATGCTACAGCTGGAGCTAAGAGATAATTTATTCATCAAGTTTATGCAAGTTCTTCATGTGGATAATTGACCTGAATTCCCAACAATATCTGTATATTTTTAATCACTTTGTTGTGTTTGCCTTTAAGGAATGAGCAGGGATTAATTAGAGTGTTTATGTAACTATTAAAATTTTTAAGGCAGTGGAACCTCCCATCTCTCAACACATGAGATGGGGTGAAGGAGAAGGCACATGAATGGTGGAATCTCAGCCCTACCACATACTGGCTCTCTCTCTTCGGGCAAGGCGTGTAACTTCTCTAATCCTCAGTTTCTTCTTCTGCAAAAAAGGGGATGATGGCAGGATTGTTGCATAATCTGAGATGTAATATCTAAGTCTGGTGGCACTCTTGACTAGGTGTTCAATAAATAACAGCTATTATTACAAACACTGTAAACCTTTTGTTTTTCAGATTTTACTCATAACTGTAGGAGAGAACTCGGTGCCTTTTCCTCGGTGGAGTGGGTGTTGATGAAATTATTTTTCCTTCTCCAAAACTTCCTCAACCAGTTCTTTCTTGGGACAGACTGTATGAGACAACAAGTTGTCACCAGCAGAAGAAACTATGACTTTTATTAACCAAGGTGAATTTACTTAACCAAGAGGGTATTTGTAGTTTATCTTTTGTCCCCAAACTTTCTGTGTCTAGGTACCTTCTGAGTAGGCCTCTAATTCCTGCCTTCAGTGTATGTATCTTCGGTAACCTAGCAGGGGAGTGTGGTGAAAATGCACGGGCACTCTGGTAGACGGGATGGAAGAGAGGCTGAATCTAAGAGAGACCGTTTAGGGCCTCAGAACACCCTTACCCTAAAATGAAAGACAAAGATCTCACATGAATCTGGCCTCTGCTCATTCTCCACAGGGGTAAGGGTCTTTTTACTATTGGGACCCAGATTCATTCATTCAGGCATCTCTAGGGAGCCTTTTTGGAAGCATCCCAGCTACACATACTAACACTGACTAGCTTTTGCTCCTTTCACCATGTTTCACCCGTCTGTTCTAATAAAGCTTCTTAGGTTATGTTATATCCTTTAATTTCTAGCCTCTTCATTCAGTTTCTGTAGCAGGACACATGAAATTGGGATGAAATTCTCAAAGTATTCCACATGATAATTGTTTTGTCTTTGTAATAGCTTAACAAATAAATCTAGGTTTTCTATGTGATTGTACTCTCATTCTTGACTAAGACCATTAATGGGAAATTTTTGTTTTGTTTTTTTTAATGTAATGTTGGCAAAAATGAGAATCTTTTTGGTCTTTTATTTTTGTTTGACTTTTGAGAATATGAACGTGAAATGAATAAGAAAATGTGTCATTAAAGCTTCTGGCAGATATTTAGTAGGGCAAGGATTTAACACATTTTAAGGAATTTCTGCTTCTTCCACTTGATTTAGAGTAATTTCCTCTAGTGTATTTACCAACTCTCAGTTTGTATTTACAGATTTAACTTGAACTTCAGTACCATTATTTGACTTTAAAAATGAGGTTAGAAAAGCTACTCAGAAGCACTTGGCTAATTAGTGACTAAACTTTGTCACCACTAAGCCTAATTTTATTTTCAACATTTTCACTTAGTTTTTCTCATCCTTCATGGTAGACTGAAAGGAAAGTAATTTTTCTTTTTCTGACCCTCTCAAAAATACCAAATTTGTTAAAATAGGCAAGTGAAAGGGCCATTGGAATGGACACTGAAATGTACTGAGACCTTCGTACCAACTATTGTCCTGAGTTCTTTGCATACATTATGCATATACTCTTCATAACTACATATGAGATGTTTTTATTGCTCTACTTTAGAGATGAGGAAATGGTTTAATAGAGAGGCAAAATAAACGCTTAAGCTGAAACCAGTTTGGCTGCTGAAACCGGTTTGGCTCAATGGTAGAGCATCGGTCTGCGGACTGAAAGGTGCCAGGTTCGATTCCGGGGTCAGGGACATGTACCTTGGTTGCGGGCACATCCCCGGTAGGGGGCGTGCAAGAGGCAGCTGGTCGATGTTTCTCTCTCATCGATGTTTCTAGCTCTCTCTCTCGTTTCCTCTGTAAAAAATCAATAAAACATATTTAAAAAAAAAAAAAAAAAAAAAAAAGGTAAACGCTTAATATCAGGGATAGTGAGCTGGGACTTTTAAGCCTTACCATCTACCAGGAGCTGAAAGGAAACGGACTGCTATAAATCTCCGCAGCACTCATTTTGTCCTAGACATTTATCCATTCCAGTAAGCAGGCAGGGTATTCTTATGCATGGGTTGATTTTAGAAATTCTATTCGGGTACCATTTAGCTTAATTAATTTATTCAATAAAAACATTTTCTTAGAAAGTCAGAGGTAGAAGTGAGCCGTAGAAGAAAGGGGCCCAAGAACCAAAAGTTACAGAGGCAAAAGCAGGGCCCTTGGAGTTGAGGAGATAGAGGCCAGGGAAACTGACTTGAGGAAGGTGGTGGGGAAAGATACTGGTGTGATCTAGAGAGAGAGTTACCCTTTAATACCCCCTCACCCCGCTTTTTAAATACGTTTTTATTGATTTCAGAGAGGAAGGGGGGCGGAGAGATAGAAACATCAGTGATGAGAGGGATCATTGATTGTCTGCCTCTTGCACACCCCACACTGGGGATCAAGTTCACAACCCAGGCATGTGTCCTTACTGGGAATTGAACCATGACATCCTAGGCCGCTGCTCGACCACAGCCATGCCAGCCAGGCTTGAGTTCCTTTTTAAAGTCATGCTTACAGACTTTTGATCCTAACTTTTAGTGAAATATAAAGAGCTCTGATAACATACCAACAAAATGTCAAGAAGATTCTGTGCGTTGTGTTTCCTGTAGGCACTGCTGTGCTCGGCTTAGTTGTGAATAACATAGTCAGCTAAGATGTAGGAGGCCAGGCATCTCCCGGTGGGGCAGACAAGATGCAGAGTCAGCTGTCACATTCTGTAATACTAGTCATTTGCACCCATGGGAGAAAATAGCAGAAGGAGGGAGAAAGAGATTAGGTTAGACTTTTAAAAAGTAAAATTCATAATTATCAGCAAGCCAACATTAGTTGAGTTTATTTGAGTTTAATTTTAGGGTTGCTAGAATTGTTTTATTCCTTGATATAGAGCAAATTTAAAGAAAGGCATAGATATTTTCTGCCCATATGTGAGCCATTTAAATAACCCTAATGGTTAGGATTGACGGGTCCCAGGTTTGATTCCCAGTAGGGGGCATGCAGGAGGCAGCCGGTCAATGATTCTCTCTCATCATTGATGTTTCTATCTCTTTCTCCTTTTCCTTTCATTTCTGAAATCAATAAAAATGCATTTAAGATATATTTCCACAAGAAGTTGTGGAATCTTGTATGCTGTTTAGAAGCAGGGAAATTTATTCCCATGTAGGATTATTTAAATTGTAGTTATTCTAGCCCCAGCATTCAAATACAGTTTTGTTATAGCATGTTTTTTTTTTTAAATAATGTGAACTAGTTCACAAACAGTTGCTAAATAGGGCGGTGATGTCTGTATAACCCAGAAGTCCCATTGCTTCATAGCAGTTTTTCCCAACACATTCAGTACCACCCATTTTCTACAGTTTTATAAGAGTTAACTGGAGGAATCCATGCATTATGTCAGAAATAGGAAGTTGTGTCATATATTGATAGGATCGATCAGATGGAAGAAACAGGAAGATACTGCAGTAATCTGGGAAGTAGGAAGTAGGTGGAGACTTGGACCAAACGAGGCCATAATGAACATTATGAAAGCCTACTTTCCTAGAAAAGCACATGTACACAGGAGGTGTGCACAAAGAAGTTTTTTGAAGAACTGTTTTAATAGTGAATAAGTAGGCCCTGTCTGCGAAGCTCAGTTGGTTAGAGCATTGTTCTGATACGCCAGGGTTTCAGGTTCAATCTCTGTTCGGGGTACATTTAAGAAGCAACCAGTGAATGCATGGATGAGTGGAACAACAGATCAATGTTTCTCAAGTCAATTAAAAAATTTTTTAAAGTGAATGACTAGAATACCCCATCAATCGTTTGGATAAATTATGCAGTTTGAATTAAGTAGAGCTGCATGTATAATATCAACTTGAGTTATTAGATGAAGAGAAATGCCATATATACAGATGAATATGAGTCTGGAGTTGTATAAGATACAGAAATTTGGCAGTCATAGGATGTAGTTGCTGCTATAAGGCCACAGGACTGGATAAAATTACCAAGGGAGTAAGTATAAATAGAAAAGAGCTCAGAGAAGGGAGCCCTGGGAAACTGTCATGTAGTGGGGAAAGGAGGAAGAACTAACTAAAGTAACTTGAGAAAATGATTTTCTGGAACAAGCGTTTTCAGGAGACAGCAATTGATTGTATCAAAATATTGATAGGCAGGAAGGATGAGAGTTCCATTTAACAACATGGAGATTCTTGGCAAGTTTCAGTGGAATGTTGGGATTGAAGGCCTGATTAGAATGCTTTTAGAGAAATTGGGAAGAAGGAAATTGAAGAACTTCAAACTCTCACCAACAACCTACTTACCTAACTCTTCTTGTGCCAATATATTACTTTTTCTCCTGAAACTATGAATGAGCTGTCTGTGCCTCTGGTTGAAGCCAATCCCTTCAGTTGTATACTTGATTCTGTCTTCACTAAAAGACCCCTCCTCTCCTACGTCATCAGTTGTTTTCTTTCTACTGCACCATTCTGATCAGCATATAAACATGCTGATGTCTTTCCCATTTAAAAAAAAACCACAACTCTTGACCCAGTTTTCTCCTTCATAAGAAACTGCCCACATTTTCTTCCCTTTACAGAAAAACTCTTTGAAACTGTTTAGGTGTAGGCATGGAAAAGCACATAGATTTAATCAAGTTGTGGTTAAACCATGTGAGTATGATAAAGAGATAAAGGAACAAGGAAGTTAAAATGGTATGCAAATGTGTAATTTTAAGTTGTGTATGGAGAAGAGAACACTTGAGAGGAGAGATGTGAAAAGGGGGTGGTAGCAATGAACAAAGCTCCCCATGAAGGTCAAGGTATCATTCGAAATAGGGTCCTCAATCTGGAAAGAGGTATTAGTGTTGAAGAGTGGGGTGTTGACATCATAGAAGAGTCTGAATTATTGCTAATGACAAACTCAAGGTTATGACCAAAGTTGTAGCTGAGACAGACTAGGCAAAATTATTGAGTCTTTCAGTTCAGCCAACATAATGAGAGGCCTCATCATCAGTATGGGCATTGAAATCACCAGAAATATACCGGAGTAGTGTAGAGAGTAAGACAGGACTAAGTTCTTAAAGGAACAATGGGGAATTGGAACTGTACAGTAGATTATTGCAGTAAGAAGTACCCAGGTAGCAGATGTCATGTCTGATGGCATGTTTTTTATAGAGAGCAGAATTCAGGCCTAGTATTGCCAGCTATTTTGATATTTTGCAAGAGAAAACTGGATTTTTACGTGAAAAAGACTTAAAATACCAGCGTTTTGTTTTTAAATACTGTGCAGGCCAAATAAAGCATGTCATGCCCTTCCTGGTTTGGCTCAGTGGATAAAGCATAGGCTCACAGATTGAAGGGACATGGGTTAAATTTCGGTCAGAAGCATGTAGCTAGGTTTCAGGCTCCCTCCCCAACTCACATTAATGTTTCTCTCTGTCTCACCCTCTCCCTTCCACTCTCTAAAAATCAATGGAAAAAGATCCTCGGGTGAGGATTAACAACACAACAATATGACAGAGACTGAATTTAACTATTGTCACAATTTTATGAACTCAGCTTTAAAATAGAAACTACTAAGGTGTGTATTTGTGAGCCCATGGTCGTCAGACTGGCTGGCTGGCTTCCTTGCTGGGTGGCCTGCAGCCACAGTTCAGTCGGCAAGTGTAACAGGGACTGTCTACAAGCTGATCACCAAGCAGCACCTGAAGTACCTGGCAGTTTGTCACTTGCTTAATTGATTAAGCAAACAGATTTTATTTCACCCCATGTTTTTTTTACTTCAGTTCTAACTCTGATAATGGAATTGCCTTTGAAGAAAAATACACCTAACCTTTTATGGCCAGAACTTTCATTAAAGTAGACCTCATACAATAAATAGGGGAAGATTTGAAGGTTCTTTAAGGGGGAAAACAAACAAACAAACAAAAAAACCCTAGTTAATTCCTAAACAAAATTTGCTTTTATAAAATATTTAATGTTTTCTTCAAAATCTTTAATTTTCCTTTAGTCGTACTGATGACTGAGACTATTTTTTGTATTAAAATAGACGTCCTAAAGATGGTGTTTGACTGTACTTGAACTTGGGCAGGGCAGCAAGGCTCCCTAGACTTAGTTTCCTTATCTGTAAAACATTAAAAATACATGCCCTACCTACTTTGATTAGGATCAAATGAGAGTGTGAAAAGGTTACATTTTGACTTTGTATGGGTGCTTTGTGTCATTATATACTATTAAAGAATAAAAACTTGTCTAAAGCTAGTGAGCTGCTCTATTTAGAGACAATATTTTAGATTAGAATATATTTAAAATTTAGGAAACCCGGGGAATATGAGTGGGTATATAATCTGCTTCCAGAAGCAATTTTCCTATTGAAAAATGACACTGGGTATCATCGTGTGAGGTACTGGCTGTAAAGTATCCCCTCCAGGTCTGAAAGCATGACTCGCGCTGTGGCTAAAAATCCTGTTCATTCAGGAGACACTTGATATACACACTCTCTTTGGGTCTCCCATCACCTTCCTTTCCCTTCTCACCCAGTACTTTTTTTTTTTTTTCTTTCCTCATCAAAATGAACAATTATCACTTGATTTATAGTTAATGTAGCAAGTCTTTGCTAGAAGCATTTAATTCACACTCAAAAAAACAAGTCTTAACAGAAATACAGGATGCCTCCTTTTCATTGTAATTTTTTAAGTCCCAGTGATGAAAACTAAGGCAGCTTCCTCAAAGGAAGTGACATTGATGAGTCCAGTGCAGCCAGTGTGCTGAATCTGAGGAGACAAAGTCTTTGTCACGTCCAACTGGACTGTCTTGTGACTTAGTCTGAGTCTTTTGGAACAGATTATTCCTTCTTATTAGGTGTATGGTTGTTATACAGCCATGGAAGAAACAAGCTGAATGTCAGAATCATCAACAATATACCTGAAAGATAAAACACAATAAAATAAAAACAAATCTCTAAGGAAATTCATAATCACCAAGTAGGAATAATTTAAGGTTATATGTACAATTATATATCTAGAGATTGGAAAGCAATGTTTAAAAGAATTAGCTACATCAATTCGACGTGAAATGTAGATCGTTTCTAAATCTGTTTCACATTATTTTTCTTCAATCATGAACCCTTAAAAACAATAAGTACTTGGTGAAACCAGTAAGATCTAAACATAAAGGATAAACTAAATCTAAATAGTTGGGAATTCTAGTTTTGACTCCATTACTGACTTGATGAGCAAGAAACTGGACTTGGGTCTCCATTTGCTCTTTAAAATGGCAACTGCTATCATACTTTTTTTTTTTGAAATGTAATGCTCTTCCCACATTTTTATTCATCTGTCATTTTATTCCACGTGCATCTGTTTGAAGACCAAGTGTTAGAAATATGCATAAATGCCACCAACCAGGAAAAAAAAGTTGATGGTGTACCCATTATGTTAATTAAAGTCTACTCCCTTATTTTGTTCTAAGAAATTGCTAAATTATCTAACTGCTAAATCTCAATGGTCCTGAATCATCATACTCTTGAGTAGTGATTTTCAACATTTTTCATCTCATTGCACACATAAACTAATTACTAAAATTCTGCAGCACATCAAAAAACACATTTTTTGCCAATCTGACAAAAAAGATAGGTATAATTTTGATTCATCCACACCAGATGCCTATAGTTATGTTAGCTGCTGTTGTTTTTTGTTTTTTCATTTGACAACCCTAAGGGAAAAGGTCATTAATGCATGTTTTATAAAATTCTGGCAGCACACCCATTGAAAATTGCTGCCCTCGCCCTGGCTAGCTAGCTCAGTTAGCTGGTGTCACCCCTTACACCTAAAGGTTGCTAGTTCAATTCCCAGTCAAGGCCTCGGTTGCACTGGTCATATATGGGAGGCAGTCGATCAATGTTTCTCTCACATTGATTTCTCTCTCTCTCTCTCTCTAAAAATCTATGGGGGGAGAAGGGAGGGAGAGGAGTATACATCCTCAGATGAGGGTTAGAAAAAAAGAAAGAAAACTTGCTGCCCTAAGGATGTTCTGCGAAAATAAAACAACTGAAAGCACTCTTGAGTTTTCACTTGGAATGATCATTAGCTCTTCTCATTTTCTCATCAAATCTTAACCGTTAATAGCTTTTAAAGCTGCATCAAGCCAAATATCTAAAAATTTTGGTTAATGCTGAAATTTTAAAAGATATGAAAAAAAATCACATAATAGTAAATCTTCATTTTGAGTTCTTGTTTCTCTTCATAGCAGATATTGTAATTCCTTTAATGCCCTCTGCCATCTCCCCAAAACTAATTTAAAATGTTGTGACTATAAGACTCTATATAAAATTATTTCTCTAATTTATACCTATCATAGAATAAAAATTAGCAAATTACAATCTCTTATATGAAATGGGAATTCCATTTTAGGAAAAAGTTTTCAATGTAATGTCTTATTTTCTAGCTCTGACTTTATAAAGAAAATGTCAGATTTGGTGGATCATAACAGGATTGTTCTGACATTGTTTTCATTTCAAGCCTTTGGTTGCAAAACAGACTCATCTTTTTTAAAATGTTAAGCTATCCAAATGCTAGCTAAACCTTAAGGTTTCCTGTTGTTACCAAATAAGGGTAATATAATATCAAGTCTGCATGTGGTAAACATTCTTAATCTCAATTAAAACTGGCTTAGAGCTTTAGCCCTAAGGATGTTAAGATAAAACACATTAACTATTGGAGACTTCCCTTTCAAGGCAGTGAGTGATTTGAGCACTCTACTCTAACCTGTTCTCACTGAAAAGTCAACCAGTACCTACATGTCCCATTTGTCTGGAACTTCTTCATTAACTTTGGTGACATTTTTAACTTCTTAAAAATCAAAACTAGAGAAGATTTACCTTTAAAGCTTTTATTGGAAAATTAGCAATCTGCTGAACTAAAAAAAAAAGGGCACCAATATTAGCATTTTAAAATGCAGGTTTTCTCTGACATTCTTCATGTTTAGACCTACATATTAACATAATAGATACTACCTGAAAGAATGGGAGGTAAATGGCAGGAGTCAAGTGTGAGGACTAGTCAAACCTGTGCCATTGTTCCCTTCTAAATATACCCTTAAAACAGAAACAAACAAAAAATGGAACCAAGCAACAAGAAACAAATCGCTAACTATAGATAAAAATAGGGATGAACTAATAGAAAGCTAGGCATCCTCGCACTCATTTATAGTTATGAATTATAATCAAGCTTAAAACAAATGACTGATCAATAACATAAAGAAGTGCATATTATAACTACAGTTATTTTTTAACTTTCTTTGTTATTTGGCCCATCTGTATAGAAGAGTTTTATATATCTTCTGATCTAAATAGAAGTAACAGTAATGAATCTTATGGATTTTAAAACTATGATCATTACAGGTACACATTGCTTTATGAAATGCTTTTCTGCAACATGAGCCGAATGAACTAATAATGTTTTATCTGGAGTTCACAAGTTTGAAAAAACTTATTTCTTTAGTCAAAAACAATACGTTTTTAATGAATTTAATGAAACTCAGATATGAGGGCACTTGTTTTGCCCTCATATCTAGGAGAGTTTTTTTTTTAAAGTGGTATCATACTGTAACTGACTATCCTTAACTAGATAATTTTGTTTCTTTGAAGATAAAAACAGTTTTAAAAGATACTGCACAAGATAAACTGTTATTTCAGGCATGTTAACTATCCTTTTTATTTTTTGTGTGTGCCTTCTCTGGCTTTAGAAAGTGACATTACAGTGACATTCCATATCATATTTCAAGATAAATTGATCTTTCAATCATATTAAATAAAAACATGCTTACCTAAAGAAGGAGCCAGCCAATATACTATAAAAAATTGAAGGAATGCTTCATCAAAACACTTGAAATGTAGTGAAAGTGCCAAAGCTGGATTAAATATAGCTCCTGTTAGACTTCCTCCTGTAATACATTTTAAACAGAGTGATATTAAACATTTTCTTGTAACTGAAAATAAAGGGGTTACTAAATGTGACTTCTGTTTTACATAGTTAAGTATAGTCACCCCTTGGTATCTGTGGGGTATTGGTTCCAGGAGTCCCTGCAGATACCAAAATCCATAATTGTCCAAGTCCCTTATATAAAATAGCATAGGAGTTGCACATATATACATACACATCCTCCCCTATACTTTAAGTCATCTCAAGTTTACTTACAATATGTAATACAATCTAAATGCCATATAAATAGTTGTTTATTAAATAGGGAATAATGACACAAAAAAGTGCACACAGTCAGTACACACACAATTATCATAGTCCTAGCTACATAGTACGTGCCAACAACAACATAATTTTTTAAGAATATTTTTGAGGTATGGTTGGTTGAATCCGTGGATTTGGAATTTATAGATTCAGAGCCTGTGGGGTTTCAAATATAGGAGCTGACTGGATTCTTACTCTGATTTTTCTTTGTAGGATCACCTGTCATAGAGTATAAAAATAGATTATAGTATGCCAGGTGCAAAAAGAAAAAAAAAAGGTTTAAGAAAGTTAATCCAGCCCTGCCTAGCATGGCTCAGTGATTAGAGCATCATTCTGTACACCAGAGGTCCAGTTCCTAGTCAAGGGCACCTACGTGGGTTGCAGGTTTGATCTCCACCCCCAGTCAGGTATGTATGGAAGGCAGTCCATTGATGTCTCTCTCTCACATCAATTTTTCTTTTCCTCTCTCTTTCCTGTCTCTCCCTGCCCTCCCTTCCACTCTGAAAATCAGTGGAAGAATATCCTCACTCTTCAGATGAGGATAAAAAAGAAGAAAAGAAAGTGAACCCAATGCTTTTCCTATATATTATTGCAAAATGCACATTCAGAATGAATCTGCTCTATTGCTGTTCCTATAAGGTTTTATAAAACAGGAGATTTGGTTGCCCTTGACCGGTCAATTTAAATGAATAAATAATAAAAATAAAATGAAAATACATTTAAAAAAAATGGATTCAACACCTCAGATTTCTCTTGTACACAGCATACTTTTGTGTAGAAAACAAAAAGTAAAATGGACCAAAGCATTATCATGAACTCCATTTTTACTTGTCAAGAAAGCCCTAAAGAAGTAACTGAATGGTATGTAAATTATACCTCAGTGAAGTGGTTACAAAAATTTCTGCCAAGAAGTGACTGAGTAGTCATGAACGATGAGCACAAGTTCTGTCAACTGCTTTTCAGGATTCACGGTCTAGCCCTACCCCAGGGGATCTCTCTGACACGGGGCCTAGGAGTTCATCGTTCTTGCTGCACAGCAAGAAAGGCAAGGCAGAGGAGGAAGGACTGCCTGCCGGTCCAACAGTGCTCAGCAGAGCCCAGCTTTTCAAAACACACCCTACGAGTATGCCCGAGAGGGACATTCCTAGTGGTTCTTCGCTGAGGAAGCTTGGGCACACACATCTGCCCCTGACTCAGCCCCAGAGATAAAGCCAATATTTTCACAGATCTTACATAGATACGCATCCTTATTGCATACTGTCTTCATAAAATGCAGCAGAGTAAAATGGGAAATTTAGTGACCTGTTCATAAGAATTCACCCAGATTCCACACTTGATAGGCTGAAATCACGGAAGCTGTGTTGAAGTGTGAAGCTGTGATGACGGTGTTGAACAGTGACCCAAGTTGACTTGCCTAAGAGTTTCCTTCTAGCTCACTAGCCTCATTCATAGCATGACTCATATTTTAACTGGACAACCAAGAGTAGACATACCTGCATACAGGTTGTGTGTAGTAGCAATAGGGAAAACCTACGTGCCCATTCATAAGAAAACAGCTAAGGACGCTAGTTTATTGTTAACTTGGAATGCCATTCAATATTTGGAAATAATGTGAGATCTCCGTATCCTTATAACCACCACCAAAAAAAGCAAACCACAGGAAGTAAGGTATGAAACTTTATGTTCACACAAACACATATACTGGATTCTGTAGGGTCTTATCTATATATATAATAAATGCACAGGAAACAAGTTTGAAAGGACACACAATTCATGCACAGAGGGTTGCCTGGAGGGGAGAGTACACAGGGAAGGGGAGGGATAAGCATGAGGATGGCAGGCAGAAGTCACTTTTAGTCTCATTGGTAGTGTCAGTTTTTTTTTTTTTGGTTTGTTTTTTTTACAAAAAGAACACATGTATTGTGTGATTAAACATGAATTATTTAAAAATAAATCATGCATCAGGCATAGAACTAACAAAATGGCTTTGAAAAACAAGCTACTAATCATTGACATTTGAAAGGGAGAAATTTTAACAACTTAAACAGGTATCAGGGAGAGCTGGCCAGCTGCCGCCAAGAGTCTTGGAGGACAGCATGAACAGAGTGAAGGCACCACAGTGAAAGGCTGAGTCCCAAATTTGGCAATTTTAGGCACTAATGTTTCTCAGCACTCCTGAAGGGAATCACAGTCTCTGACAAAATGACCCTCTTAGAATCCCATAAGACTCATGTAATCCAGAATGTCCATGAACTCATTTACAGTGGACTAGCCCTTACTAGTGACCAGAGTATTTGTAGCAGGTACTATGCTAAGAACTTGCATACATTATTCTATTCACAATTGATAGACAGTATATTCTTCATTTTAAAAATGAGGAAACCAGCTGGGACTGGTTTGGCTCAATGGATAGAGCGTCGGCTTAGGGACTGAAGGGCCCCGGGTTCGATTCTGGTCAAGGGCATGTACTTTGGTTGCGGGCATATCCCCAGTAGGGGGTGTGCAAGAGGCAGCTGATCGATGACTCTCTCTCATTGATGTTTCTAACTCTCCATCTCTCTCCCTTCCTCTCTGTACAAAAGTCAATAAAAAATATATTTTTAAAAATAAATAAATAAAAATGAGGAAACTGAACCCAATTTAAGTATCTCTCCTAAGGAAACAGTCCAATTCCTCTTAACCATTCTCTTATAACTAGCGTAATATAAAATGTCTTGAGCCCAGCTGCTATGGCCAGTGGCTGAGTGTCGGAAGTATGGAACCAAGAGATCAGGGCTGGATTCCCTGTCAGGGCACAGGCCTGGGCTGTGGGCTTCATCCCTAGCGTGGGAGGCAGCCAATCAAGGATTCTCTACTGATGTTTCCCTTCTTCTTGCAGAAATAAATAAAAATAACATTTAAAAAAATGTCTTGAACTTTTATTTGAACCTATTTTTCATCTTTAAATTAGCACCTATTTCAGATGGTTATTGTATTAAAAATGAAAACATGTAAAAAGCTTAATTCCCTTCTCCACTGACAAAATCTTACATTCTTCATGAAAAACTCCTGAATTAAATAATAAAGTAAAAATCCTACAATTTCTTCAGATAATTTATTGTGCTTATTTTGAAAGTACTTAGACATTACATATGGAATACCCAGATATGTATTATTTCTTTTTTAAAAAAATATACTTTATTGATTTTTTACAGAGAGGAAGGGAGAAGGATAGAGAGCTAGAAACATCGATCAGCTGCCAAGGTACTGCCCCTGACCGGAATCGAACCCAAGACCCCTCAGTCCGCAGGCCTAGGCGCTATCCACTGAGCCAAACCAGCTAGGGCTGTATTATTTCTTTCCGTGAGAGTTTTAAAAAGTAAATAGAATATTTGCTGATTCACTCATTCTGAAAATCTTTACTATTTTGTAGCAGGTGACACCATGCTAAGTCATGGTTATATGTTATAATGAATCAATTCTAGTCTCTACCCATAAAGCTTACTGTCTGGTGAAGGAAAACAGACATTATATCAGAAAACAAGTGTATAAAAATTCTACAAAGGAAATGAACAGGGGGCTGTAGTAAAGACAAATTGGATGTGTAAACTAATTTTTTCCAACATAGAATTGAAAAATGATTACAGCCAAAACCGGTTTGGCTCAGTGGATAGAGCATTGGCCTGCAGACTGAAAGGTCCCAGGTTCGATTCCGATCCAGGGCACTTACCTTGGTTGTGGGCACATCCCCAGTAGGGGGTGTGCAAGAGGCAGCTGATCGATGTTTCCCTCTCATCGATGTTTCTAACTCTCCCTCTCTGTGAAGGATCAATAAAATATATTGAAAAAAAAGAAAAATGAATGCAATTCTCTATTACTCTGATAAATGAGCTAAAATTCCCCCTATCTAAGTTAAGATTTTCTTGAAATTTATGTTAGTAATTGTATAGCTTTAACATGCTAATAGGTCACACAGCTTTTCCCTGCCACCTTTTTCGTCCTCTTTATTTGGGAAAACAATTAAGTACACAAGTGGTGATATCAGTGGCTTCAATTTGTGCATCCAGTGCAGGGTGCTAAATCAATGAACACACAATCAGACACTTGGTCACTGTACCTTGGTTGCAGGCACATCCAACGAGCCTGTGGCTCCAGTGCTGGACAGTTATGTTCTGTCTTAAAATATATAACCAGCTATTTTGATGTGACCTGTATTAATGGTGACTTCTGAGTGCCCTCAACTGTGTCCCAACTGGCAAAACATTTTGCAAGGGATGACCCTGTTTATATATGATGTTTCTGCTTTAGCTAAAACCTAAAACTTTAATAAGCAATTATTCACCAGCTCCTCAGATATACATTATATCCTGCCTGTACAATTTATTTCCATCTATTTTTAAAAAAAGAAGAATCCTAGAATTAAAGAAAGAAAAACATTGCATTGATGGTGTTCATTTTTACCCGAGGAGGGCAAGCATATGTTTAGTAGGAGTCCTCAGCTAAGGTTTGCTTCTACTATTTTAATGGGAAGAAGATAAACTCTTCCTACATATTTCCTCCAAGACATTTTATAATTCAGATATAGTCCCAATGAAGATACTTTGTTGTAATCTTTTAAAATGACACATTTCATCATTAAACTTTTTTTTTTTGCATCTTATATCTGTCAAGGTAAACAGATGGTTTACAAGAAATCAGATTTCTCAAGAGTTGTTTTAAAAACCTTTCATTTCAAGCAAGTTTTAATTTTTTAATATTTTTATTGACTTCAGAGCGGGAGGAAGAGGGAGAGAGATAAAAACATCGATGAGCCGGGACCGGTTTGGCTCAGTGGATAGAGCGTCAGCTTGGGGACTGAAGGGTCCCAGGTTTGATTCTGGTCAAGGGCATGTACCTTGGTTGCGGGCATATCCCCAGTAGGGGGTGTGCAAGAGGCAGCTGATGGATGACTCTCTCTCATCGATGTTTCTAACTCTCTTATCTCTCTCCCTTCCTCTCTGTACAAAATCAATAATATATATAAAAAAATAAATAAAAACATCGATGAGGCTGAAACTGGTTTGCCTCAGTGGATAGAGCATTGGTCTGCAAACTGAAAGGTCCCAGGTTCAATTCCGGTCAAGGATATGTACCTTGGTTGCAGGCACATCCCCAGTGGGGGGTGTGCAGGAAGCAGCTGGTCGATGTTTCTCATTGATATTTCTAGCTCTCTATCCCTCTCCCTTCCTCTCTGTAAAAAATCAATAAAATATAAATTAAAAAAGATAATTGTTAAAAAAAAAAAATGGATGAAAATCATTGGTCAGCTGACTCCTGCATGCTCCCTACTGGGGGTCGAGCCCACAACCTGGGCATGTGCCCTTCACTGGAATCAAACCCAGGACCCTTCAGTCCACAGGCCAACGCTCTGTCGACTGAGCCAAACCAGCTAGGGCCAGGTCTTAATTTTAAAGCATCTTTCTTGATTGGTCACTTAAAAGTTCATTTATTACTCAAGATGAATTATTGAGGAAATAAATTACTTTTAAGTAATTTTTTTCAGGAAAAGAGCTAAGAAATAGAACTGTACTCTGCCACTCTTGCTACTAAACAATCATGTAGCTTTAAGTTGGAAGGAACTTTTTAAGCCCAGGATCATCTTTCAGCGAGTGTCAGAAAGGATCTATACCCGGTTGGCTTGAGGCGAGAGGTAGCTGATAACGTATCTTCCTCTCTGCCATTGAAACAACCCCTTTGTAGGCTATTTGAGCCCTTGGCCATACCTCACACGTTCTCAGTTTCAGCACCGAAGTGGCTCCTTTTTCTGAGTGTCCAAAAATGGACTGAATGGAGGAACACTATGTTGGCCCTACCGGTTAAAAAGAACGGGAGTCCCGCTAAAAATGGTTAGAATAACGGGGATACTAGTATTGACACCCCAGAGGTTCGGGGGGTTTTCAAATACACATCTTGGGAAAGCGCTCCGAGCCTCGGATCACAGAGGTCCGGGCGAGCCGAGCGTTTGGTGGGAATAACACAAACCTGCATAGACCAGAAAGGTGATGAGTGCCGCCAGCATGTGGATGCGAAGCTTGGCTCGGACCTCCTGGCAGTGCAGCAGGACGCTGTGGAAGATAAAGGAGCAGATGGCCTCGACGACGACGGCTTTGGGCAAGTCGACGTGGATGGGGTTCCTGCAGGCGAGGCTCCTCTCCCCGACGTGATACCCGGTCAGCCCCAGGCCCCACAGGGCGCCGACGCAGTACCTGCTGCCCAGGGCGGCGACCAGCTGCGCCAGCAGCCGCGCCGCGCCGGCCTCGGGGGCCATCTCCCCCAGCAGCAGCTGCATCATCACCCCGCACGGGTTGCTGGACGTGCCCGCCAGCGTCAGGCCGTGCACCAGCGAGAAGAAGTAGGTGAGCGTCAGCGGCCAGGTGGGGTGGCCCGGCTCCTGCTCGCCCATCAGCTGCAGCTCGTGGGTGCAGAAGCAGAGCTGGAAGGTGGCCAGCCCCTCCAGGACGAAGGCGTGGGCCGCGGGCCCGTGCACGTGCCGCCGGAGGAGCCCGCGGGCCAGCGCCACGGACAGCACGACGGTCAGCATCAGGCCCAGCGACGTGCAGGTGTCCTGCGCCTCGGGCCACAGCCCGCGCTGCGCCGCCGCCGGCATGGCTCGCTCCGCTCCCGGCTGGGCTCGGCTGGGCTGCGGGTCGGCGCGGCGGCGGCGGGCGGTGTGTGGGATCGAGTCCCGAGTCCGAAGTCTGCGGCCCCGCCCCCGGCGCCGGCCCTCGGGGCGGGCGGACTCCAGCCGGGCGAGCGGCGGCGCGTCACCGCAGGGCTCCGCCCCCCGCGCCCCCGCCCCGCTCCCCGCCGAGGTGCGGGGGCCGGAGCCGGAGGGGAAGGCGGGCGGCGGCTCCGCTAGGGCATCGGCGGAGGGGTCAAGGGTCAAGGGTCAAGGATCAGCCCCGGGGCCGCGCACACACCCTGCCCCAGCCTCTCACTCTCACTCTCTCCGCGCCGGTGGGTGCGGGGAGCGGGGGACGCCGCCCGGGACCACTGCGCGTGCGCGGCGGCCCGGCCCCGGCGGCGCCGGGGGGACCTCAGCGCCGGGGGTGCAGGTGCAGGTGCAGGTGCGCCCCGCGGGGCGCGGGAAGGTGAGCCGCCACCACGGTTTGACAGTTGCTTTGCAGCGAGGAAACTGCGGGTTTTTACTACCCGCTTTCTAAAGCTGTAAAGCCGCCCGGCTGGAAAGACACCCAAAGATCACCTTGACCAACCACCGTTTTTTTTTTTTTTTTTTTTTTTTTTTTTTATTACTAATGGGGCGACGGAGAGGACGGGAGGTGAGGGAAGTGCAGCGCCGCGGCTGCATGGGGGGTGGCTGTGCGGCAGCGGACTTCGGAGAAGAGCGAACCAGCCTTTGACCCGTGAATAAGGGCATGCAGCTCGATTATCTCCTTGATAATCAAGCTAGTTTTCCTCACCTGCCTCACAGAGCTGTGGGTCATGTGGGACCCACCTCGGGGGATTGGTTTGCAGCCCGGAGCCCAGCAACCAGGAAGAGTCCAAGAAGTGCGAGCCTAACGGTGAAAGAGCAGGTCTGATGGGGCCCAAGTCTAGTTTCAGTTTTGCAAGATGAAGAGAGCGCTGGGGTGATGAATGGGGTGATGGTTGCACAATAATGCGAATGTGTTACAGGTGCAAAGTTCGTGCACCCGATGCTTCAAAAGAAAGGCCAATATTCCACCCTTCAGAGTTTAGAGTGAAGAAGGGTTCATTGATCTAGAAGATGGGAGAAATAATCTTCAAATCCATTTTAAGAGAGCCCCAAATTCAGGCTGCCTTAGTGCAAGCGGTGGTTTCCTCCCCTCCCTTACCCTTTCAAGAGAGCTGGAGAGCTAGGCTCTGAAAAGGAGTCCAAGGAAGAGCTGGACCTCTCTAGATCGCTTTGATCCAGTCTGTGCTTGAGCCCCTCAGATCTGAGTCCGGGTGTGGAGATTCCAGTAAATCTTTGATAAGCAGTCATTATTTCCCACCCCTTACAGAAAAGCCCCTGGGCCAGGAGCTGCTGGGGCAAACACTCAAGCCTCCAGCAGAATTCCTTTGGTTAATTAGCATATTTGAGGCAGGTGCTATTAACCCAGAGGTTCTGAGAGAAATGCAGGGTAAGAATAAACACAAAGCATTTCTGTTACAAATGTGCTTAATATCACTAAACTGTACACTTAAAAATGGTTAGGATGGTAACTTATGTGTATTTTACAACAATTTAAGTTTTCTTTTTAAGGGATGAGCTAGCAAGTTAAACAAGACATGAATAAACCTTAAATGTATATTACTAAGTGAAAAATCTGAAAGACTACAAACAATGTGATTCTATTTATAGACTTCTAGAAAATGGAACTATAGAGACAGAAAATAGATTAGCAGGGAGTTGGAGGGAGAGAAGGATTGAAAAGGTTAAGCAGGGGGGATACTTTATGGTGGTAACACTATTTTGCATAATACTGTAAGGGTGGATATATGACACCATGCATTAATGTAGACAAATTAAAAAAAAAACATTTAAGAGAATCCCAAAATGGAATAAAAGCTGGAACAAAGTAATATACATTATAAATGTGTGAACCAACCTCATGGAAGGGAGAAAATATGCCTATCTATAACTTGGGAATGAGTGGAGTCAGTAAAGCTAGGTGCAGCCTTCTGCACTGTATCCCAGTTGAAAACTTATCTATCCGCAGGGAAAAGGCTAGAATGATCCATGTGGTGATGAACTAGAGTTGGAGATGTCACTATGACCTCATGTTTAGCTGAATACTGATACAGGCAGTTACATACAGAAATATTTATAGATGTTTGTGTGAGTGCTATAGTATATACACATACAGTATTTCCTTACTCTGATACCTGGAAGAACTTAGCAGGTGGATACCCTGGTAGCAATGAGTGCCCAGATGATGGTTTCTTTTCTTTTCTTTTCTTTTCTTTTCTTTTCTTTTCTTTTCTTTTCTTTTCTTTTCTTTTCTTTTCTTTTCTTTTCTTTTCTTCCCTTTCTCTTTTCCTTTCCTTTCCTTTCCCTTCCTTTCCTTTCCTTTCCTTCTTCCTTTTTTTTTTATAAGCAAAAATTTATTTAGAATGTCACAGAGGTAGAAAAAACAAGTTACAGAGACTAAAGAAGGGCCCTTGGAGCTTAAGAGAAAGAAAGGCAAAGAAAACTCTCCTGGGGGAAGGTGAGGGGCAAAAGCATGGATGAGAGAGAGAGAGAGAGAGAGAGAGAGAGAGAGAGAGAGAGAGAGAGAGAGAGAGAGAGAGAGAGAGAGAGAGAAAGAGAGAGAGAGAGGGAGGGAGAGAGAGAGAGAGAAAGGGACAGAAAGCGGGAGGCATTGAGTCCTTTGTCTTGAGGGTTTTTATCTCCAGATCTTGGTTATACCATTCTCCAGTAAAAGGATCCAGGAATGACTGTTTCAATGGCCAAGACAGGAAATATGTAAGGTGAACCTGGAGCATCTGGTAGTGCTAGAAAGTCTTAACAAGGAACATTTAAAAGATGTAGGTATGTCAAAGGGACACAGGAGCCAACTGAAAGAGTTGGCCAAAGCTGGACAATTTGAGCAACAAAATAAAGTGGTATTGGATTATAACCCAAAGTATAAATTAAAAATCCATGAGGCATATTGATATAGATAAATCATAGAACGAGTAAACAAATTAACATGAGAGAGTATAAAAATCTCCCATGAAGAAGAATTTTAAGAAATTTACGTGGATACTCTGTTTTCAAGGAGGCTGAGCACAGCTCCTCACTGGTTAAGTGCGGTTTCTGCAAACTGATTCCTTCCAAAGAGAACAGCATGGAAAGAGTGGCTTTGTAGGGGAGAAACCTGACAAACACGACCTCACCCAGGTGATCAAGGTTAACATGCACAGTGATATCATGTCGGTATATGTGCCCTTGATATAATGTAATGAAAATGGCACTCCTGTGACCTTCCTTTCCAACATACATAATCCCAATCTAATTATGAGAAAAACATCAGACAAATACCAGTTGAGGGACATTCTGTAAAATACTGGGTCAATACTCCTTAAAATTGTCAAGGCATAAAAAATAAGGAAACTCTGGCCCTGGCTGGTGTGGCTCAGTTGGTTAGAGTGTTGACACCAAAAGTTCTTAGGTTTGATTTCCTGTCAAGCACATATCCAGGTTGTGTGTTCAATCCCTGGTTAGGGTGATATGGGAGGCAACCAATTGATGTTTCTTACTTCTCTCTCTCTCTCTCCTTCCCACCCTTTCACTCTCTCAAATTATATCTATGTGTGGGAAGTCTGAGAAACTGACATAGCCAAAGGGAGCCTAAGGAGAAATGATGATTAAATGTAATCTAATGTAGTATCTTGGATGGAATCCTAGGACAGCTAAAAGACATTAGGTAAAAATTAAGGAAATCTGAATAAAATATGGACTGTAGTTAATATTAACATAGATTCATTAATTATAACAACTAGTTCCATACTAATGTAAGATGCTAAAAATAGAAGGGAAATAAAAATAAGGGAAAACTAGAGATAAGATATATAAGAACTCTTGGTACTACATTGCAATTTTTCTGTGAACCTGTAACTTTTGTGTGAGTTTTTCTATTAAGTATTTTAAATTTAAAAAGCTTATTAAAATAATAAATAAAATACTATCCCACAAAATAAAAGTTACTCTTAATTATTTTTTAAATCCTCACCTGAAGATATTGTCCTTTTTTTTTTTTTTTTTTAGAGAGTGGAAGAGAGAGGGAAAGACAGAGAGAAATATCGATGTGAGAGAAACACATCAATTGGTTGCCTTTTGCATGCGCCCTGACCAGGGCCCTTGACTGGAATCAAACCCTTAGGTCTGCAGGCCGATGCTCTGTCCGCTGAGGAAAACCAGCTTGAGCACTCTTAACTTTTTTAGTAGAATTTGAAACACCACATCGTTTCAGCAGAACTTGAGGTGGCACAGAACTTGAGGTGATTTTGACATGACAAGCGATGGTGAAGACACAGCCTGGTCCAGGAAGAAAAGGCCTCTGTGTAGGACATGAGTAGCTTGGGGCCAGCACGTTCGGGCACCTGCGGAGTGCTGTGGGCAGGTCCGAGGCCTGTCTGCTCTGTGAGCCTCAATAGAGGCAGAGGGCTCTCCTGAGAGCCAGAGAAGAGCAGGCCGAAAGGAAATAGTAGTGAAGACAGCTGCTGTTCCGTGCACTTGACGCTTTATAAAACAATTTGGGAGAAAACAGGAAAGTTGGCTTTCCTGTGGAATGATGGAAGCAGAGCCAACGAAGGACTGTTTTGTGACTATTGTTGCAGTCCTTTATTTGCTGTTGCCTGAAAAGGGAGACTTATTGTCAAGATATTATACATCTCTCTAAAACCGGATAAATATAAAATGTAAATATAGAAATGTATAAAATATGCCCCACCCAATGAAACCTAATGGCCTGAGTCAGAGTACTTTTTAAAGATTAAAATAAAGTACGAAGTTGCAGAATTCCCTTTTAATATACCTGATCTATTAGAAATACAAGCCTCAACCAACTGGTTTTTCAACTTCCCTTTATCGCTAATGATGGGACTGTAGTTTGAACGTATGCCTAAATGTCTAGCTTTGAATTTAACTGGACAAACCTGATT